CAGTGTTAGTCTATGGGTAGTGTTGGTCTATAGGCAGTGTTGAGTCTATGGGCAGTGTTAGTCTATGGGTAGTGTTGAGTCTATGGGCAGTGTTAGTCTATGGGCAGTGTTGAGTCTATGGGCAGTGTTAGCCTATGGGTAGTGTTGGTCTATGGGCAGTGTTGAGTCTATGGGCAGTGTTAGTCTATGGGTAGTGTTAGTCGATGGGTAGTGTTGAGTCTATGGGCAGTGTTAGTCTATGGGTAGTGTTGGTCTATGGGCAGTGTTGAGTCTATGGGCAGTGTTAGTCTATGGGTAGTGTTGGTCTATGGGTAGTGTTGAGTCTATGGGCAGTATTGAGTCTATTGGCAGTGTTGAGTCTATGGGCAGTGTTGGTCTATGGGCAGTGTTGGTCTATGGGCAGTGTTGAGTCTATGGGCAGTGTTGGTCTATAAACAGCGTTGAGTCTATGGGCAGTGTTGAGTCTATGGGCAGTGTTAGTATATGGGTAGTGTTAGTCGATGGGCAGTGTTGGTCTATGGGCAGTGTTAGTCTATGGGTAGTGTTGGCCTATGGGCAGTGTTGAGTCTATGGGCAGTGTTGGTCTATGGGCAGTGTTGAGTCTATGGGTAGTGTTGAGTCTATGGGCAGCGTTGGTCTATGGACAATGTTGAGTCTATGGGCAGTGCTGAGTCTGTAAGTAGTGTTGAGTCTATGGGGAGTGTTGAGTCTATGGGCAGTGTTGAGTCTATGGGCAGTGTTGGTCTATGGGCAGTGTTGAGTCTATGGGTAGTGTTAGTCGATGGGCAGTGTTGGTCTATGGGCAGTGTTAGTCTATGGGTAGTGTTGAGTCTATGGGCAGTGTTGGTCTATGGGTAGTGTTAGTCGATGGGCAGTGTTGGTCTATGGGTAGTGTTGAATCTATGGGCAGTGTTAGTCTATGGCTAGTGTTAGTCGATGGGCAGTGTTGGGCTATGGGTAGTGTTGAGTCTATTGGCAGTGTTGAGTCTATGGTCAGTGTTGGTCTATGGGCAGTGTTGGTCTATGGGTAGTGTTGAGTCTATGGGCAGTGTTAGTCTATGGGTAGTGTTAGTGGATGGGCAGTGTTGGTCTATGGGTAGTGTTGAGTCTATGGGCAGTGTTGAGTCTATGGGCAGAATACATGTATGTTGACCTTCTTTCGCACCATACGTAGCCAGCCGTGCTTATTGGTGGTGCGGGGGAAGAACAACACTGAACACACAAAGCAGTTCTGAATACGAGTTTGTCAATCTAGATGATCCTAAAAAGTTGCATAATCTCCCAGTGGCTTCCTAATATCGGAAGGAAAGAGCGTTCCAGACGGCCCACAGAAAGCGCCACGCAATGCAGCGGTGACCGCAGTCTTTGTTCGATGCCTCGCAGACAGAAGCCGCTGCTGCTGTGAGGATGACCGCCGGAGTTCGTATGACGATGGTTTATAGCTCCTTGACAAGAGCAGTGTAGGCGCCTCGATTCGATCTCCCGATGCGGCAGTTGAAATGTAATTCGTATATATTGATGTATATACTGGGCGTTGAACTTCTTTCGCACCGTACGTAGCCAACTGTGCTAATCGGTGGTGCGGGAATGACAACTAAACACTAAAAGCAGTTATAAATGAATGAGTTTTTTCCATCCAGATGATGATTTTAAAAAGTTGCAAAGCTCCCAGTCGCTTCCTGATATCGGAAGAGCATTCCAGATGAACACATCATCATCATCACCATCAACACCTCCCACTTCATCATATAGCTACCTCCCCAATGTCACCACCACCATCATGTATGTTGAACTTATTTTGCACCGTATGTAGCCAACCGTGCTAATCGGAGGTGCAGTGTTGAGTCTATGGGCAGTGTTGAGTCTATGGGAAGGGTTGAGTCTATGGGAAGTGTTGAGTCTATGGGTAGTGTAAGTCTATGGGCAGTGTAAGTCTATGGGCAGTGTTGAGTCTATGGGAAGTGTTGAGTCTATGGGCAGTGTTAGTCTATGGGCAGTGTTGAGTCTATGGGCAGTGTTGAGTCTATGGGCAGTGTTAGTCTATGGGTAGTGTTAGTCGATGGGCAGTGTTGGTCTATGGGCAGTGTTAGTCTATGGGTAGTGTTGGTCTATGGGCAGTGTTGAGTCTATGGGCAGTGTTGGTCTATGGGCAGTGTTGAGTCTATGGGTAGTGTTGAGTCTATGGGCAGTGTTGAGTCTACGGGAAGTGTTGAGTCTATGGGTAGTGGTAGTCTATGGGCAGTATGTATTTAGAACTTCTTCTGCACCGTACGTAGTCAACCGTGCTAATCGGAGGTGCAGGGGGGGACAACAAACTAAAACACAAAAATCAGTTTTAAAGTAATGAGTTTTTCAAACGGATGATTTAAAAGTGCACAGCTCCAGTGGCTTTCTAATATCGGAAGAGCGTTGCAGACGGCCGCAGAAGCACATCCGGAAGCGCCGCGGCGATGCGGTAGCCGTCGCTGTTCGATGACTAACCAAAAGCCGCCCCATGGGTCACCGCATGGTGGTCATTGTGATGACCCGACCTGGCCCAGCAGCTCCCAGGGGCAATCTGGGCCTGAGCCACTCGTGGACTTTCTCTTTATATCTTTGTTCTTTGCTCTAATTATATTTATTTTTGGCTCTGATGCCCATGTGCTTAACAGTTTTGTACGCGTCTTGAAGGGACCGCTCTCGCCATTTAGGATCCCTCAGAATGAAGGCCGGCAATGTGGCACACGAGGGAGTGGGTGTTAAGCGACACGCACTGCCGCCTAGAGACCATATAATCACGGACACCCGCAGACTCGCAAAGACCTTATGACCGCCTCTGAAGTTAACATCCTTATCGTTTGTCTAAGCGTCTTGAGATGCGGTCGCATTTGGGGGTTTCTCTGGGCCCCATGGCGTATTGTTCAGACAGCACCGTGCAGTATAAAAAATATACGTGGTACGAGAAAACATTTGTTCAGTGATTATAGAGGCGCAGCCCCTGCAATTGCTCGTCGATGCCACTGATGGCAGAATCTGTTCCACTGGAGGGAGCCCGAAGGCAGCTCATCTACAGCGGTGAGCTGCCTTAGGACGGCAACAACCGCCATTCGCCAGTAAATGTCGGTGACGTCACCACGGCGCTTACGCCTCTCGAGTTCCCAACCGTGTCAAACAAAAATAAATAAAACCCGACACTTGACTTGCAATCCGAGGACCATGCGGATCAGGGTTCTTCAACTGGCGGACAATCTCAGTGGCTGCAGCGCGCCAAACAGTACGGCTCACCGAGCTAGCAGACCACACACACCGATTGGGCGAGATGAAGTGGATATGAAAAAAATAAGAATAGGTTTTACCCTTTCTGGCAATAAAACAGGTGTTAAAATGGTCAAACACCAAATAAAAACATTTTGCAAGGAATCGTCTGCATTAACCACACGTACTAGTGGTGAACATGCAAACAAACCATGCTTTGATAAATGCATTGTCTTTTAACATCTTAACACTGGTTTTATTGTCAGAAAGGGTAAAACCTTCTCTTATTTTTTCATATTGGGTGGCGTGAAAGAAATGCAACCTATGTACATAAACTAAAAGCTATTAAACAAGTTTTTTTATTTATACAGTTAAGGCGTACACTGAGTTGTGCAAGTTATTTTTCATAAGCGACCTGGCCATCACAAATGATAGCTCGACCAAGTGGCTTATCATCATGTGGAAATTTATAGCAAATACTTGAAACGCGTGTTTCGAAACGTGGAGGGAAAATCCGGAGGACCCAGAGAAAAATCCACGCGACCACAACAAGAGAGAGAGACACGCAAACTTCAAATATATACAGCAGGCGTCAGGGTCGGGATCGAACCCACGACCTCCTGGATACCAAGCGAGGTAGTTAAAATCTCGCCAAGAGATAGGGGATGACAGCGCTGCAGAGAGAAGAGGAAAGTGATGAGAGAACAAGACGAGAAGAAACCTAAAGGCGAGGATGTGATTAGCGGGTTGCGTGTGCATGCACACGCGTGCGACGTGACATCACGACGCCAGGTGATGACATCAAGCACAACGTCACAGCGCCAGGTGATGACATCACAACACCATCACGTGACCCGCCCGCACGCGATTTTTCTATTGCGTGGCTCGCCAAGAATGTGTGGCTCGCCAGGGATGTGTGGACCGTGGCATTGCAGCCCAGGGCTCTGCTCGGCTTTTCAGAGTGAGGGCGGAGGGAGACTCTGTCCCGGAGCGACGCCGATAGTTGGGCCTGTCCCCCGTCCGCCAGCAGATCACCTGCAGGCAGAATCAGAGCAGCTCGCGAGTGTGCAAGGCTATCGTGAAGTCGCCACTGGTGACGGGATGTTAACTCCCTCGCCTAGTGTACAATAGGTCGTGGGTTCTATCCTGACCCTGATGCCTGCTTCTGTATATTTGGAATTTGTATGTCTCTCTCTCCCCGTGGTCGCATGGATTTTTCTCTGGGTCCTCCGGTTTTTCCCTCTACATTTAGAATCAACATCATGCACTTACAGTAAATGGCTGCTATAAATGTTCACATAATAAGCCACCTCATTGAGCTCTCATTTGTGATAGCCAGGTCACTTGTGAAAGAGAGATATGTAGCTCAGTGGGGCCTTACCTGGTAAAGTAAAACATTTTTTTAGTAGAAATTCGTTTCCACGTTGCTATGCAGTCTGCAGCAGTTTTGCAGTAGGGGGGCGATGGTGCGATGTGTCTCAACCCTTTCCCGAGTCCGAATGGAATGCACACATTAACGCACCCCTCCTCTGGCCATGCACCTGATTGGCTCACAGGTGACGACATCACATTAATCCCCTGTCTATTTAAGACCGAAACAGCAGGATTTCTCCACAACTCTGTGCTGTTCGCCTGTTGATGCTAGTTGTTGTAATTACTGGCGGAACATCACGGTAATTGAATTGTAAATGTTGTTGTGGGTTTAATCTCCAACACACAACCGGTTAGTGCTGTACTAGTAACGCATTGGCCACGTTTTATTTATGTGGTAAACCTTAATTAATTGGCTGTGTCGGGTGGTGGCGGCGGATTTAACGACTTTTATATATACGTGATCTAACCCAAAAATCTCTATTATGAAAAATAACGGTTACGATAAAATATGGAAAACCATTTTTGTTGTGTTTAGTTTGTTGTCCATCCCCCCCACACCTCCCAACTGGCACGGTTAGCTAAGTATGGTGCAAAAGGTCAACAAAAGAAAGACAAATAGAATCCGGAGGGGGTCAAAGTGGCCGTACGGCCCTGAGGTCAGAGCTGTCCCTTTGTGTACCGTATGTCTCATGTAGCGTGCTGCTGCAAGTGTGCATTGTATCATGTACTGTGCATCGTGTACTGTGCATTGTCTACTGTGCATCGTGTACTGTGCATCGTGTACTGTGCATCGTGTACTGTGCATTGTGTACTGTGCATCGTCTACTGTGCATTGTGTACTGTGCATCGTGTACTGTGTAGCATTCCACTGCATCGTGTCATGGTGCATCTTGTACTGTACATTGTGTATCTTGTATTTGCATTGTGTATAGTGTCCTGTGCATCTTGTATTGTGCATCGTGTCACCACGTATCGTGTACTGTGCATCGTGGCATGTCGTGGATTGTTCATCATGTCCTGTGCATCGTGTACTGTGCACCATGTCACCGTGCATCGTGTCACAGTGTATCGTGTACTGTGCATCGTGTCACCGCATATCCTGTACTATGCATCGTGTCACCACGTATCGGATCACCGTGTATCGTGTATTTTGCATCGTGTCACCGCGTATCGTGTACTGTGCATCGTGCAATCGTGTGCCATTCGTGCGTTTCTTGCTTTCGTGCAGGCGAGAAGGTGGCCCTGTACGGCCGCTTGCGACGCACGCGATTGGCCGGTTCGTCTTCCTCCTTTAAATAGCCTGGCACGCGGGCCCCACACACACACCACACACATCACACACACATCACACACATTACACATCATGCGCACACACACACACACCATGCCCACCACCCTGCTTCATTAGGATATTGCCCACAAAGCTAGGGTGGGAGGTGCGACACAATGCGCCACCCATTGCGTTGGCGCCCTGCTGCCCTGGCAGTGATGTAACGGTTCAGCAGATCGCTGGGAGTTTCCATCCAGGGAGTTGCCGGTTCGATCCCAATGAAGGGGTTGGGTACCCTCAACAGACTGTTGGGGCAAGTGCTGTTGGTGAGCAGTACCCTATGAAGGCCAGCACTGTGGCACACAAGGGGGTGGGTGGCCAGCACCACGCCTGGCCGTCTAGAGACACTCGCACAGAGACCTTCTGACCGCCTCTAAAATTAATATCTCCACTGCCTAAGTGTCTTGAGATGCGGTCGCATTTGGGGGTTTCTCTACGACAGTGCTGTGCAGTATTAACAACGTATGCGGAACAAGAAAGCGCCGTAACATTTGTTCAGTGATTAAGGTAGAGGCGCAGCCCTGCAATTGCTCGCCGACGCCACTGTTGGAAAAAGCGGCTCCACTAGAGGGAGCCCTAAAGCAGCTCATCTACAGAGGTGAGTTGCCTTAGGGCAACAACAACAACCACCATTCGCCAATAAGTGGCGGTGATGTTACCCCGGCGCTTGTGCCAGGCTAAGTGTACTTTAAGGCCATGTAAAGTGTCGAACGGCCACTGGCAGGAGGTCACGGGGCAGACCCAGGTGCCACGGGTCGACTGATTGAGATGACTGGCTGATGCACCACCTGTGCCCCCTACTGTGCCAACTTGCTGTGCTTTAGCCACCCGGCGCTCCGCTCGTTGTTGTGAGCGTTGCTCCTCCGCCCTCCGTTGTTGTTGGAGGGCGACTGCCTCCAACTACCCAGTAGCGTCCTTCACGAGCCTCCTCCACAGAGGCCGATCTTGATACCGCTGGTACCAGTCATCGGCAAGTCCACTCAGCTCCACGTCCTCCTGTACCACATCACTCCATCTCTTCTCTAGCCCGTTCCGCGCCCGTTTAGCCCCCTCGATCCGGCCGAACAAAAGCTGTTTAGGCATATACACACACACACACGCATGCACACACGCACCTCTCTCCTGGCACATCTGTGTGGATGGGAAGCCGACCTCCCAGAAGTTCTCCGGCGTGTTGGGCGGCTGGAAGCGCCCCCGGTGGCGTGAGCACTCGGTCATCTGGAGCACTCGCTCCGCCTCGGGGAGGTGCGAGTAGAACTGCCACCGCACGCGTGCACAAAGACCCCCCCCCCATCAATGGTATAGCCTTAACAGACTGTTGGGGGCAAGTGCTGTTAGAGGTCAGGAAATTTTATACCGGGGGGGACAATACCCCGATTCTTCACAAATTCTCTCTGGCCACCGGGGACACGGCCGCTGTGAACCCATGGGGACGGTCTCCGATTCCCCAACACGTTACTGTGTACAGGATCAGTTTCTCCACGGGACAACCAACTTTACACAAGCGCCCACAAGATCGAGACGTCCATCACGGCCGGAAAGCGAAGCCGATTCTTCTTTCGTCATTTTGATGCCAGCTAAGAAGGCTCCCCATAGATACTAAATCCCCGAGAACTTTGACGACAGTATGACAATTGTAGTATTGTTATTATAATCTAAAATATAAAAGTAACTTGTTGTCTGTGTGTCTCCCTTCCTTGTACCGCTTTTAACGGACAAACTATTGGGTTTCAATTTTAACTAAGTAGACAAATACAATAAACTAAGCCCTCAGATGAACGTTTGTAATGTTTTGCCCTTAGAGCAATGTAAACTAGGAAAACCTAACTTTGTAGAATGTATGCTGGTCGTAATGATAAATTAGAGCCTCGTCAAAGCACACATCAGCACATGTGTAGTGGGTTTTATGGAAGGTGGAGACGAATCTTCGGAGGCAACACTTTATTCCAATAAACACTACAGTATAGCCTCAGTCTCACACAAGGGCAACGGCCCTTTCTGACTACCGCCTGGGGAGATATTGCCTCTGGGCTAGTGTGCCCTATCACGGGGCTACGGACTCTGGGTCCTCCGGCTACAGGTGCCCTAGGGGTGGCTGCACTGACCCGACCCAGCCAAGGTGCGGGTTCCGACCACTGGCCCACTCGGACCCGGCCCTTACAAGGACATCAGGCCAGAGGTTCCTAGGGTCTCATCACTGGCCCACAGAGTCCCAGCCCTTACAAGGGCAGCAGGGCTAGGGGTCCCAGGGTAATATCTAGCTGGTCTTCTAGCTTCTGTCATGGACTGGCCCCGGACCCTTCCAGAGGTCCGGCTTTTATGCACCGGCCCGGTGTGTCAGCCCCTGGCTCCGCCTACCTTCAAGAGAGACCCCTCCTATTGGGAGGGGTCCCAGGGGATCCTAGAACACCCCGCAGCCCCCTCCTGCTTTGGGGCTGGGAATATAGCGACTGCCCCTGCTGGACCGTGTCTGACCCTGCAGGTAAGTGTACACAGCCCATTTACAGCGCTACACATGCACAACCCAAAAACATGCTTGCTTAGCGACTGGAGGTTCTTTTAGTTAAAAACTTCGCAATTTTGTTTACGAAAAAAAATGGCAACAAAAAATGAAGTGTCTCCAAGACACGAAAATAAACACAAAGTGGCGGCCGCTGTGGCGCGCGAAACAAACAGTGGAGGAGCAGTGGCTGTCTCAACAGCAAACACACAACGAATGCACCTTAGTCGCACGGGCTGAGGAAACTCCAGAGCAGCGTGCATCAAGACAAGCCAGAGACTGCAACAGTTACTGCTGCAGAGGCACATGCTGAGGAAATTCGCGTACATCTAGAAAAGCCAGAGACTGCACAGCCACTGCAGCAGCACAAGCTAAGAAACACTTTTTAAGTATTAGTGTAATGACATCGCGGGATGTCACTGTGTATTGCCGGCCCTAGAGAGGCACGGCGTGCGGTGTAACGACATCGTAGATACCACTATGGTGTGGGTGTAGTAACGGCCCTAGAGGGGCTTGGTGAGCGCTGATTGATAGCGCTGGATGGCATCACGCTTGCCGTGAGGTGCCAGCCCTACAGGATAGTGTGTGGGAGTGCCGGCCGTATGAATGGGGTTACTAAAGGCCATGGCACTCTGGTTGCCACACGACACTCCGACGCCGTACTCGGGTGACGCCGTACTCGGGTCCCGCCGCACGACACTCCGACGCCGTACTCGGGTCCGCACTAGAGGCCGACCGAAACTGAATTTCTGGTTTCCGCCGAAACCGAAAGTAAACCGAAAGTAAAAAATTGACTTTCGGCCGAAACCGAAAGTATGCCGAAAGAGGCCATTTGCCAACATTCGGCGTGAAACCGAAACCAAATTTCGGTCTGTCTCTACGCCGCACGACACTCCGACGCCGTACTCAGGTCATCCCGCATGACACTTAGACGCCGTACTCGGGTCGCGCCACACGACACTCCCGATGCCATACTCAGGAGACGCCGTACACGACACTCCGACGCCGTACCCGGGTAACGCCGTACTTGAGTCGTGCTGCACGACACTCCGATGCCGTACCTCGGTCATGCCGCATGACACTCCAACGCCGTACTTGGGTGCCGCCGTATGACACTCCGACGCCGTATTCAGGAACCAATAGTGTGCGAAAATAGAAATCGGACGGCGCGGTACATCACCCGAAACACCGCAGCGGGCGGCCGAGACGCCCATTGCAACGGTCGGCAAGAAGCCGCCACCACCACCCTGTCTGCAATAAAGCTTTACAGCGTTCCTCCACCTCCCTTGAGACGAGGTTGTCCCGTGACTGCCTTCCAACACTGCTGCCCTGTTGCTCATTAACTGATAGTTCAATCTATATATTAAAAAAAAAAAACTATTTTTATTTTAACATAGCTCAGTGGGCCTTACCTCAATGTAGTGGCTTATCACAGTGAGATAAAGATGACCAGGAAAGGGTGGGACGGGAGATCCCAAGACGAATAAAGATGAAGGCATGGCTCAAGATGAGCAGCATGAAGAAATATGAAAATTCTAAAACTAAACTATTTGTATTTTATTTCGATTTAAAGCTTTCGTGACTGCAAGGATTCATCTTCTTTGGTTCTTTGTATTTTACCAATTAAGGCCCACTGAGCTCTATAGCTCTTTTTGGTTAGAATCAAACTGGCTATAACAAATGATAGCTCAACGAAGTGGCTTATAAAGTCACATAGGTAGAAAAATAAAACAAGATTAAAAATAATATATCACAACGTTTCGATCGCAACACAAGCGGTTGTCCTCGGGCAGAAAAAATAATCCAGCAGTGGAACTGCTGAACCGGTCCAGCACATCATGATATATTATTTTTATTTTGTTTTTATTTTTCTACCTATGTGACTTTACCGAAAGAACCAAAGAGTATGGATTTCTGCAGTCACGAAAGCTTAAAATCATCATCATCATGTGGACATTCATACCAGCCAAATATTCTAAACGCGTGATGTTGATTCTAAATGTGGAGGGGAAAATCAGAGGGCCTGAAGAAAAATCCACACGACCACGGGGAGAGAGATATGCGGACTCCAAATATACAGCAGGAGTCAGGGTTGGGATCAAAGCCACGACCTCCTGTATACCGGGCGAGAATTAACATCTCCCCACCGTGGCCACCCCAAGCAAGACTGACTCCTCTTCAGATGAGACACTGAATGTTGGAAATGGTCTATAGTTTGCCTGTATTGAACCATGCATAAATGCAGGAGCATTTATGCACTCCCAAGAAGGTCCGTTAAAGCAGACGAATTGTGTAGCAAAACAATACTTAATATCTCATGTGGAGGGACAAATATGTTAAGGAGGCATACCGCCTGTTTAATTTATTTCTTTTGCGAGTATTCAGCCAGCTCAGCAGCGAGATTAATTTCAGGTCAGAGTCTACACCGCCTGAGATTTGCCTTTAAAGGCTAAGATTCAGAGCGTTATATCAGTTATCTGTGCCCATAGTGCCACAGCGTTACACCAGTTATCTGTGCCCATAGAGAGCCAGAGCGTTATACGGCCAGCTGAAGCGTCTATCACAGAGCAACTTCAGAAACCTATGGTCCACACAGTATGGAGGCAGCACTATCCCCCCCACCCCAATAGTATAATACGAGGGTGGTGGAAGAATTCACTCGATGACCGGCATAGCAGATTCAGAACAACAAAGTTCAAACGCTAACAAACATTAATGCAGTCGTAGGCGGTTAAATGCTTTGTGTTGATATTTGTGCTGTGTGTCACGCTGCTGCTGTTGTTTTGTAAAGCGGTGGAGGTGGGGGAGGGAGGGCGGGGGTGAGTGGTGATGACTTTTACCACCAAGCTAGTGCCCTTGCCGTCTCGTGGTCGTTTGCTCCGGTACTGCATCTTAGCAAACGTTGACGAAAGATTAACGAGTAATGAATTGTATAATAATGTAAACACTAACAAATTAACAGGAGAGTAGTTACATATGCGGTGTTTCTGCAGAATTGCATCATTGAATTGTTGAAACTTTTTTTACTTCAAAGTATGTATGTTGAACTTCTTTCGCACTGTTACGTAGCCAACCGTGCTAAGCGGAGGTGTGGGGGAAGGACAACAAAACTAAACGCAAAAAGCAGTTCTAATGAAATTAGTTTTCAGCGTAGATTTAAAAGTGCATAGCTCCAGTGGTGTTCAAATAATAACGAAGGCCCCTATACATTTATTGATTATTTTTCGTGATTAGAACTTTAAAACCCTGCAATTAAAATAGCGAATAGGTTATATAGTCTACATAACCACATCTTTTATCACATTCATTTTGTTTTCATTTGTAAATGCCAAGCCACACAGGTGTGCCACAAGTTCTGCTCTAAACGTTTGGACAGTCAGTCGGTCAACTACGTGACCAGGGAGGGAATTCCACGGCATGGGGCGAGAAAGCGATGTAGGAACCGACCTGCATTGACCAGCGTGGTGATGTATGGTAACAAATAAATACTCCTAGGCCAATACTAAAGTGAGCAAGCCTCCATACGGCAGTTCTAAGATCAACTATTGTTTTGGCTGTCAGGTTAAAAAGCATACTTTCATGTTTGTAGAGTTACTTTTAGCACTGGTTCGCGTCTCCTGAGTTTCTGTTAATGCTTTGACCAATTTGGCCTATATTCAAATGGACGAGTCCCCCCTTAGTGATGGGACACTTGGGACGGTTCGGAGATAATGCATTCCAGTTTCCAACCTGACCTGGGCTGCGTTATTCATCAGTCTTCAGACTTTCCTGAGCAAATAAAACTATTGTTTTTGCTGTCAGGGTACAAAAAGCACATTTGCATGTTTGTAGAGAATTACTTTTAGCGCTGGTTAACGTCTCCCGAGTTTCGGGTAACGCTTTGACCAATTTGGCCGATATTCAACTGAAAACGTAATTATTATTCTCATAGTTGTTGCTGTTGTTACTGTGGTGCACTTAGCGGCAAAGAGTAGACTCACGTTCTCGCACTGCTTGCAGGAGAAGCCCTGCAGCTTCCTCCGCTCGTCTTTATTCCGCACCACGTCCACATACGCAAACCTGGGCTGCTCCGCGCCAAGTCTGTACAACCACAACCACCACCAAAGATAAAGATCCCCCCCGTATAGCCTTTCACAGGATTTTGAGGCAAGTACTGTTAGCGAGCAGCACCTGTGAAGGCTGGTACGGCACAAAAGGTGGGGGTGGCCAACACTACGCCCGGCCGCCTTTGTCTCCCCAGTTGCGATGTTTATACACCGCACCAGGTACTTATTTGAGGCTGAGTCGACCTAGGGGAGTCCGAGGATCGGTTCAGATAATCGTCACTGGTGTTGGCCGTGAGCGGGAATCCAATATCGGGTTGCAGAGTTCGTAGCACCGGGCGCTAACAGCTACACTACCACAACCACCATCAAAGAGTAATTCCTGCAGTTTGAACCACCATCAACACCACCACATCCTTATCACCACCACAGCTATCAACACCACCACCATTACATCAACCGCCATTTGCCACTAAGTGGCAGTGACATCACCATGGCGCTTGTGCCAGGCTAGGTCAGATCAGGTCATCATTACATCATGACCACCTCCATCAATACCATCACCAACACCACTCCCCCCCAATCATCCCCGCCAAGACCACCTCCATCAACATCCCTAACACAATCATCATTAACACCATCACCACCAACACTAAAACAACCAGTTCCGCCACCAACACAACCACCAACGCAATTACCTCCATCATCACCGACACGACAACCAGCATGACCCATATCGACACCAGCACCACGTGTGCTATACCCAGCAGCTCGGCATGACATGTAATGTTAGACAGGCAATGACTTGTGTGTAGTCTCGTGCCAGACACAATCACAGCAGCTCACCTGCCACCTGCGCCCAACTCGTGCCCACAGCTCTTCTGTGTTGGCGCTTTGGAACACGTGGTGTCTAGCCGATCCGGGCTGTGCGCAGCCGTGGAGATTGGTCGTTTGGTGCTGTGAGCGGCAGCAGTTGTAACTGGCTGATTGCCGCTGCATGCTTGAGTGTTGGTCGACTGGTTGGGGTAGCGTGGGTGAGCGATGGTGGGCTGGTCATTAGCGATGGTGGGCTGGTCATTACTGCGTGGGTGAGCAATGGTCAGCTGGTCATTACTTTGTGGATGAGCGATGGTGGGCTGGTCATTGCTGCGTGGGTTAGTGATGGTCAGCTGGTCATTGCTGCGTAGGTGAGTGATGGTGGGCTGATCATTGCAGCGTGGGTGACCGGTGGTTGGCTGGTCATTACTGCGTGGGTGAGCGCTGGTTGGCTGTTCATTTCTGCATGGGTGAGCGCTGGTCAGCTGGTCATTGCAGCGTGGGTGAGCGATGGTCAGCTGGTCATTACTGCGTGGGTGAGCGATGGTGGGCTGGTCATTACTGCGTGGGTGAGCGATGGTGGGCTGGTCATTGCAGCGTGGGTGAGCGATGGTCGGCTGGTCATCACTGCGTGGGTGTTCGATGGTGGACTTGTCATTGCTGCGTGGGTGAGCGATGGTCAGCTGGTCATTACTGCGTGGGTGAGCGATAGTGGGCTGGTCACTGCTGCGTGGGTGAGCGATGGTCAGATGGTCATTACTGCGTGGGTGAGCGATGGTCAGATGGTCATTACTGCGTGGGTTAGCGACGGTCGGCTGGTCATTACTGCATGGGTGAGCGATGGTGGGCTGGTCATTGCTGCGTGGGTGAGCGATGGTTAGCTGATCATTACTGCATGGGTGAGCGATGGTCAGCTGGTCATTACTGCGTGGGTGAGCGACGGTCGGCTGGTCATTACTGCATGGGTGAGCAATGGTGAGCTGGTCATTAATGCGTGGGTGAGCGTTGGTGGGCTGGTCATAGCTGCGTGGATGAGCGATGCTCTCCTGGTCAGAGCTTCGTGGGTCAGCGATGATCTTCTGGTCATTGCTGCATGGGTGAGCGACGGTCAACTTGTCATCCAGGCAGAAGGACACGTACTCCTCTCCATCACAGGTTCTGTCAAAGAGGTCGTCCAGGCTGTCATTGCAAATGGACGTGGTCTCTCTGCCTGCACGACAGATAAAACAATAATAACAATCACACTTTGCCCCTCGGATGTTTGTCCACGCAGTCAACATACACGGAGCTGTGCCCAACTGCTCACTCTGCTGTCGTACAAACAAGGTGGTTATCGCGCTGCCCTCTGAACTCAGCGACCCGAGTTCAATTCCCGGCTGTGTCTAAACATCGGTCCTGGGCCCTTCACCAACGCTGACCCAAAATATTGACCAGCGTGGTGTGGTTGGTCAAACAGCTACCGTGACCGCGATGGCACGGGGTGGCGGTTATCCAGCAGTGGACTGGCAAAGGAAGGGCTCTACAGCGGATGAGGCTAGCATACCGGCTGCGGGGCCCTCGCGGCCGCTGCTCGGCGTTGTAGGTGTCCAGCAAGCTGCCTGTTGGACAGGGCGCCTGTCCGCTTGGGGGGGCGTCACGATTGCGCCGCTGCCGTCGTCGTTGTACCGCCCTATTGCACCGCCGTGCCTCAGCAGCACGCTCTCGTTCACAAAGGTGCAGTCCACGCTCAGGTCCTCCGGGCCACGATTGTCGTCGTTGTCGCTGTCTCCATCTCTCACACCTGATGCACTTCCGCCAAAACGGGGGCTTCTTTGAGCCTTGAAGATCGAAAAGTGCAATATTCAGGTGTCCTTCGATTCACAAAAAGGGATGTGTCCATGAAAAAACATTACGATGAAAAAGGAGAGTTTGTGAATCGGAATGGCTTTCCCCATTAATTTGGTACTAAAAGTTAGGAATGTGTTTCGGACAGTCATTGCAACTCTACTCCTAACCTAAAAAGATGCAAATATATACACTTGTATCAGTCAGAATATGTATTGATAATGCAGGAGGAATCCAATGAGCGTTATGGCAACAAACAGACCTACACACGATAGGAGTGAAAAGTATAGGAAAGGTAAGCAAATCACTTAATGAGGTACCCACACTTTACCACACCACGCACGACCTGTCGTCGATCGACCGTGCCGTAACCCATTTACCATGTACCGGTAGGTGGACAGAGGCGGGTGGGCGGGCGGTGGAGACAAGGGGAGGTTACAACAATACAAAAAAAACTAAATCACTTTTCATAGTAAAAAAAATGGAAAGAACGTAAATATTACAACGATCAAATAATTAATTCGAAATAAAAATAATTCACCTTTCCAGGAATGACTGGAAAGGCGACGTGAAGGCGGTTTGGTGACGCAGCCTACCGGGTGGCTTCTCGCCCGACGATCTCATGGCGCGAGTGTGACTGCAGCGAAGTTTCGTCCACGCGGAAGTTCCGTTGCGTCAATTTAGCAGCGTCCATAAAATTGTCAAGTGCGTTCACGGGAGACCTCGCGCTGCGTCTACCTGTGCCGTCGGGCTGTCCTCCTCATGCTGGGAGAGGCAAGCGTAGGGGTCAATGTGCCACGGCATCATTTCGGCCCCATCGGTATCTGCCGCCGGAGTAGCAGTTGCGGCGCCTGGCACAAGCGAGCCACATACAGAGCGAAGCACGGATGTCAAATACAGGGGGAGGGGGTGGGAGGCACGGATGTCAAATACAGGGGGAGGGGGTGGGGGTTACACTAAACATGCCATACAGAGACCACGCACAGGCCACATGCAACACAGGCCACACAATATGGCAAGACCAAAATGGCAACACAACTTTTAGCTAAAGTTGAATTAATATTGGGTCATCTTAAACATTTATAGTGACTCCCTCCACCTCCCCTCCGCAGATGGATAGATCAAATGCATGAATACTTTCAACCTTAGTAGCGAAGTTATTAACTACTATATTTATTTTACCAGGGTAAGGCCCAATGAGCAATATCGCTTGGTTTCAGAAGCGACCTGGCCACAGATGATAGCTCAATGAAGTGGCTTATCGCGTGGAAATTTATAGCAGCCAAATTCTAAAACCGCGTGATTTTGATTGTAAATGTGGACGGATAACCTGGAGGATCCGGAGAAAAATCCACACGACCACGGGGAGAGAGAGACATTGCAAACTCCAAATATACAGCAGGCGTCAAGGTCGGGATCAAACCCCACAACATCCTGCATACCAGGCGAGGTAGTTAACATCTCCTAGCCACCATGATGATGCGAGAGACACCGCAAACTCCAAATATACAGCAGGTGTCAGAGTCGGGATCGGACCCACGACCTCCTGTATACCAGGCGAGGTAGTTAACATCTCTCCACTGTTGCGTTCCACCGCAAAGCATTAATAACTAAACCCCCTACTCCCCCACCCATGGCGCTCGAGCAGACGTCCCGTACCCAAGGAGGTGAGCACGGACGCGGCCCCTCGCACTTCCAGCGAGGGGGAGGTCCCAGTTGCCACTGGGCTCCCCGAGGCTCGCCGCCTCGGCTCTCCCTGTTCGTCGCTCGTTGCCCGCCGCTGCCCCCTCCGCCACCACACCGCCTCTGCAGCTGGGATCTTCCAATCGGCGAAGTCTCGCATCACGCCGGGGACTGCGTCGGGTGGCGTGGTCCCCACGTCTTGCGCATCCTCGGTCGAAGCGACGGTGGAAGGCCCCGGTGGTGCAGGCAGCTCGTGGCTTGGCAGCTTGCGGCCCAGCAGCGACGGCGAGTCCACGTCAGTCTCCGCGGAGGCCGGGTCGGGCGAGGTCGGTGTTGCCGCCTGAAGCGACCCGTGGTGCAGAGGCACCAATAGCCCCGTGTGTCCGCACGCCCTGGGGGGCTTGCGTCCACAACGGCTGAGAAGAGAAGTTACTAATCAGCTGCGTTGGGTGGTGGCGAGTTAACAATACATTTATATTTATGCGATCTAACCCAAAATAACCTTAATTATATTCCTACCCAGGCTTGCTAGGAGGCCGCACATCAAAGTTGAGGACTCCACCTGTTACATCTGTATGGGATAGTGTTTCTCCCTCGCATTGGGGGATCTCTCCGGATGCTCCAGTTTCCACTCACAGGTAAACACTCATTAACCCTTTCCCATTTAATCGATTCCAATCAGAATCCATGGTAAAAGGCCATGTGGTAGGGGCATGTGGCACAGTTTGGTGCCAGCTATAGTAGAGTGTGGCAGTGGTGCTGCTACCACGTGCCCCCCCAATGATCCGATCGAAATCCCTAATTTCGATTGGATCATTGGGGTTTATTAGTAACTAGCGGTAAGTACCCGGTGTTGCCCGGGCGAAAAAGACAGACACACACATCGACTTACACACTTTCAATGTACTTGAGTTTAACAGAAGAAGCAAGGAACAGTAATATTAATTGTCCGCACATCAACATTATGATTGTAATATTTGGCAGGTGATTATTAAAGAAATAGGTTTCTATCAACGTGATTTGACACAATAACAAATATATCAACGCAGAGCAAGTTATTAATACATTATTAGTTGTGAGCACACAAACGAAAATATGTGAATATTTGCAAGGTGATTATTAAAATACCAGGTTTCTGTGTACATAAGTTGAGCGAAAGAAGCAAGGAATAAAAAATTAGTTGTCTGCACGCAAACTTTATTAATGTACATTCATTGTGTCTTTCGGTAAAGTCACGTAGATATAAAAATAATGAAAAGTGTAAAAAATATCACACAATACCATACAAGAAAAACAACCGCCATTCGGCACTAAGTGGCGGTGACGTCACCACAACGCTTGTGGCAGGATATGTCCACCTTGAGGCCACGTGAAGTGTCGAACACCCGCTGGCAGGTGACAGGGCAGACCCAGATGCGACAGGTCGACTGACTGAGACGACTGGCTGATGCACCACCTGTGCCCCCTACTGTGCCAACTTGCTGTGCTTTAGCCACCCGGCGCTCCGCCCGTTGTTGTGAGCGTCGCTCCTCCGCCCTCCGTTGTTGCTGGAGGATGACTGGCTCCAACTGGCCAGTAGCGTCCTTCACGGGCCTCCTCCACAGAGGCCAATCTTGACAGCACTGGTAGCAGTCATCGGCAAGTCCACTCAGCTCCACATCCTCCTGTACCACATCACTCCATCTCTTCTGTAGCCCGTGCCGTGCCCGTTTAGCCCCCGCAATCCAGCCGAACAAAAGCTGTTTAGTCATGCGGTGGCTGGGTATGCGGTTTACATGGCCCAACCAACGCAGCCTTGCCTGCCGGAGGAGCTCACTGATGGGACTTTGTCCACATCTTTAAAGGATTTGTGAGCTCCTCACACAATCCAGCCTGGTTAGACCCAGGATGGATCGTAGGCAGGCCAGCCTAAATGTTTCTAACCGGCGAAGATGTTCCATTAGGGGGGTCCATGTTTCGCAAGCGTAGAGAAGGGAGGGAATGACTTTGGCCGAGAAGACCTAAAGCTTTGTGCAGAGCGACAGACCAGGTAGCTTCCACAAAGCGTTATGCATCCGATGAAAAGATATTGCCGCTCAACTGATTCGGAGTGAGACCTCTGCTGTTAAACCGGAGCCGGTCATGAGCACACTGCCCAGGTATGGGCAACTCTCCACTCTCTTCACAATCGCCCCATCAGCAATTGGGAGTTGTGGGGGTGGAGTGTCCGATGGTACAAAATACCCAGGCAGGTGCATAGTTTTGGTGGGGCTGATGGCAAGGTCCCACCTCTTAGTGGCAAGTTCCAGGTTCAGCAGCAGCGCCTCCAACTCCTCGTCTGAGTGAGCAACAATTACCAGATCATCGGCATACAGAACATGGTTGAGCAATAGGGAGCCATATCTTGACCGCACCCGGGCATCGATCAGCCCCCCATTGTATCTGTACCAAATGGAAATTCTTCCGGTACAGCTATTGAAAGCTTCACGAACTACGCGGTCAAAATAGATCTTAATTAATGTGGGAGCCAGAGGACATCCCTGTCGCACCCCAAGGTGTACAGGGAATGGCTCTGACTCCAGGCCACGTAGTTTTACCCGGGCTCGCTCACCATCATGATAATGATCGTGAGCAGAGGGTCAGGGACTCCGAAAGCAGGAAGAATAACCCAGAGCCCAGCCCTACTGATGGTATCATAGGCCTTGACCAGGTCAATAAAGCAGAGATGTAGGTCTTGTTAGAATTCCCTACACCTCAGCTGTAGCAGACGGACAGAAAATATGGCATCTGTGCAGAAACGCCCTTTCCTAAAACCGCATTAAAACCGCACAATATGATACACACCATGCTATACACACAAAACTGTAGACACAATACCATACACACCATGCTTTACACACGAGACCATGCACACAATACCATACACAGCATGCTATAGACACAATAGCATAGACACAATACCATACACACAATGCTATGCACACAACAGAAAACACACAATAGCATACACAATACTGTAAACACCCGACTATACACACCATGGTATACACACAATAGCATACATAGCATGGTACACAAACAATACCAAACACACAACACTGTGTGTATGGTATTGTGTGTATGGTATCATGTGTAAAGCATGGTGTGTATGGTATTGTGTGTATACCATGGTGTGTATGGTATTGTGTGTATGATAGTGCGTGTATAGCATGGTGTGCATGGTACTGTGTGAATAGCATGGTGTGTATGGTAGTGTATATGGTATCGTGCGATTTGTATGGTGTGTATGGCATTGTGATAAATGCAAAAATAATTGATATGTTTGTAGTTACGTGACGTAACAGAAAGAGGCAAAGAATATGAAATCCTGCAGTCACGAAAGCTTCAAGTGAAGATAAGTAATGTAATAATAGGAAGGTGATAATTGCAAAAACAGGTGTATTTTAACGTGAGTTCACACAATAATAAAGAAGATATTTTAACGTGAGTTCACACAATAATAAATATCAAAGTAATGGCCAAGTTAGAAACCCAAAAAAATAGTTGATGAGCACACAAACCAAAATAATAGAATATATACCAAGGTGAATAATAAAATAAAAGTTTTGTAAGTACGTGATTGTAGCGTAAGAAGCAAGGATATTGTAGTTACCATAGTTGTGGTAAAGCCTAGTCTCGTGCGGAGCCCCCATCCTGGAGGTGGCACGTTGCCAGGCTGGGGGCTGGGCCGCTACCCCCGCACCCCTCCCACCATCCCCCGCCCATGCAACACTAATGCTATTTAAGCACTATAATTTAACTATCTACGGACTCTGTAGTATAAACTGCATGCATCGTGTTGGGGGGGGGGGGGCAAAGAGGACATAACACTGTGAAGAAATACCCACAGCGTTATGTGTATACTCTTTGGTTCTATTCGGTAAAGTCACGTAGGTAAAACAAATGAAAATAAATTGAAATAAAATGAAAGAAACAATTAAAACACGACGTTTCGGAGGCAATGCAAGCTTCCGTCTTCAGGTGGGACCAGTCACAACAAAATCGCTGCACCAAGTGGTGAGGTTCTGGGAACCTCGAGCTTAAATACAGGTTGAGGGGGGGGGTGTGGGAGGGGCCATGTAGGGGACTTTAGTGGAGTGTGGAGCTGAGTTAATCCGTCTTTTGTTGTGTAGATGGGTCATTGTGTGTGTGTAATATAAACGGGAAAAAATGAAGAAGATCGTCGAGGATGTGCTGTACGGGGGCAGTAGAAAAAAGGAAATAGAAAGGTTCGGAAAGAATATGTTTGGTATACCACTGCTTGAAGTTGCTGTTAGAAATTAGTTAACGTTTGGTATGATTTAAAACGTCTTTCCAGTGGTTGCTTAATTTGAAACCATCCTCTCGGTTGAAGTTATGCCTGTGTTTGTATATCTGAATGGCTTCGTGGACAAATCTTTGTTGATAACCTGTAGGTTTACAAAGAACCTTGGTATCGGAAAAGACAATCTCATGGTCACCCCCATAGCGTTGTAACAATGATCAGCCACAGCAGAAGAATTTGTTCTGCCGTGTTTCAAATCTGATTTGTGCTCGCGAATTCGGTCAGAGCTATGTCCATAATAAAGGTTTTTGGGTTAGATCGCGTTATTTATAAATGTGTTGTAACCCTCCACCACCCGACACGGCCAATCAGCAAAAAAAAGTGTCACGTTGACAAAAGACAAATAATTCACTACTTTAGCCCACCGGTGTGTTGAAGAGTGAATCCACAATATTTACAGTTTGAGTACAACGTTTCGCTGGTAATTACATCCAGCATCATGGGCAATTTGCCAGAATGGCTTTATAAATAACGCGATCTAACCCAAAAACCTTTATTATGAATAATATTGGTCGCGAAAGCCTACGTGTTAAACAGAGATATGTCGTTTCGTCTCCCCGATATAGCAGTCACCACAGGTACAGTTCAATTTGTAAACTCCGGGGTACTGTAAGTCAGGGATGACATCCTTTACGGATGGGATCAGATCACGTATTTTGTGTACTGTATTGAACCGGACTTGGATCTTGTGTTTATTTAGAATTTTGGAAATCTTTTTAGTAACGCCTATGTATGGTAGTGTGATGATTTTGACCGGAGTATCAAGTGGTTGTTTCTGTATGGTAGGAGAAACAGCTTGGCGTATGGTACGGTCAGAGTATCCGTTCCTCCTGAGGGCCAGCCGTACCAAATTTATGTGTATATTTATTGCATGTAAAATGCGTCAAAGAAAATGTTCCCCTCAGCCCCACCGAACGCGTATCACTTGGCAGGGTCTACCCCCCCCCACCCACTGAATGCATGTGAGTTGGTACGGTTGATGTCTCACAAAAATATAAATAAATATAGCAACATCTCACAAAATAGCTAACTTAACTAATTTAAAGGTGACGGACGTGGTAAAGGAATGCCAAGCACGGGGCTTACGGCATGGTACCTGGCTAATTTTTTTTACGTAAACCCCACCATTTGAGAGTCAAATCCCTCGCAAGCGCGTAAACACACACAGACCGACAAACAGACAAAAAATTACATTTATATATAAAAAATAAATCGGCATTTTGCAACCCACCACTGCCACTGTGTAGCATATTATTATTTGCCAGTGACTCTATGAGATGATAGGACAATAGTCTGAGTCCATAATTGGCAATAAGTAACGGCAAAGCAGTTATAAGTTCCTCAGAATTGTGCGCAGTTGCGTATACAGTACACGACTTCCCTGAAGGCATACCTTCAGTGAGCGCGATGCCGATCACACGGTTCGAATTCGACCCTCAATCGATGGCTGCGCCATTGGCGCACACGCGTCGAATAAAAAGCAAGGGACAAGTCCTTATTTACTAACAACTCCTATCATTTTTCATTGCTGGAGGGGTTGCCCCCCTACCTGAAAATGCTGGCTCCGCCATTGGCCGCTATGGTTCTGTGGCGAGTACAGTGCAATGTGTTTAAAAACAGCGGTGCTACGCCTCTCTAAATAAAATTAATACTGTAAACCACTCGCGCGTTCTGAGATTCGGCGGTGAACGAGAAATCCACCCTGCAACCTGCAACGGGAAAGGGTTAATTGGCCAAAAACACCTTCAGAGCTTGGCCAATCGTTGGCACCGGCTCATCATGTGGTTACCTAACTAAGAGCTCCCTGCAGCAAAAAAAGGGTGTTGTACTCGCTTTCCAGCAGTGCATCACCGCTCCCCCCAAACCCCAGGCAGCATAACAAAAGGCGGCTTAACTTAGCCCTACCCTCCCCACCCACGTCCCTTCCTGGCTCCTCCCCCCCCCCTTAACCTGTATATAATCCCGGGTATTCCAGAGCCGTTTCATTTGATACAGCAAATTTTTACTGTCTCTGTACCACCTGAAGACGGAAGCTTGTGTTGCCTCCGAAACGTCGTGTTTTAATTTAGTTGTTTTTTCTTTCTTTTATTTTAACCTACGTGACTTTACCGAAAAAACCAAAGAGTATGAATACTTGCAGTCACGAATGCTTCATATCTAGGTTACCTAACTGTTGGTCTGCAGTTCCTCCTCAGGGCACCTCTGCATCGTTCTCTCTAGTCTCTCTCTACAAGAGTGAGTGAATAATATGGCGGAGCATTCCAAGTAAACAATATTTGTCCACCAAGAGGTAAGGAGGGAGGAAATACGGACAGGGAGGCAGAGAGAGAGAAAGGAGGGGGGGGGGGCGGAGAGATGAACAGAAGCTTAAAAAGGAAATACGGTTGGAGGGGGGGAGGGGCCAGAGCGAGAGCGGCAGCTCAAACACGCACATCTTACACATACAAAACGGCAGCTCAAAAAAGGACCACCTCTTGTAAATACAAAACGGCAGCTCAAAAAATGACCACCTCTTGTAAATACAAAACGGCAGCTCAAAAAAGGGCACATGTTACACATAATTACAACGGTAACTTCCCCGTAGGAGTGTGATAATAAAGTATTAAAACTTTCGTGACTGCGTAAAATTACTCATTGGTTTTTTCGGTAAAGTCACGTATGTAGAAATACGATAAAATTATATTAAAGCAAAAAACAATCACGACGTTTCGATCACAACGCAAGCGATCTTCATCAGGTGTCAAGAACAAATCACGGAGGTAAATACAGTTGTCCCTCACTATAACGCGGTTCACCTTTCGCGGCCTCGCTGTTTCGCGTATTTTTTTTAGTGTAATTTTGCATGCTTTTTTTTCCTGCGTACAGTATGAACGCACATTGTGTTCGGCGTCCTGATTGGCTACGGGAGAACTGCACATGTGTTCTGCGTCCTGATTAGCTAAGGGAGTACAGAATGCGTTCGGCTAGCCAGATTTACATAAATGTTCAATCGCTAGCAGTGTGACTCTGAAGTGCTGTATGTTTGCAAGTTTTCTACCCGAAAAAAACCCATAATGTCGATGAAACAAACTGCAAGGAAAAAGGCACCTGCAGTCGCACCCAAAAGGCAGAGGAAGATGCTAACCATCGCAGAAAAAGTTGGACTTCTGGACATGCTAAAGGAAGGTAGACGTTACGCGGTTCGTTACATAAAGAAGGAGGAAAATAACATAAGGACGACGGCAGCAATAAGTTTTAACAGGGATGCAAAAAGGTTTGTAACTGTCCGCAACAAGACCATTGTAAGGATGGAGTCTGCTTTAGCTCTGTGGATCAGTGACAGCAGGAAAAAGAACATTCCGCTGGACACCAACATCATCCGCACAAAAGCTAAAAAACTTTATGAAACCTTTGCTGACAGCGAGGAGCAAGATGATGCGGAGCCCGGGTCATCAAAGAGTGCTTTTCACGCAGAACCAAGCCCATTTAATGCCAGCAAGGGCTGGTTTGACAAAATCCAGCAACGCTTTGGACTTAAAAGTGTTTCTCTACATGGAGAGGCCGCCTCTGCAAATACCGCTGGAGCAGAGGCATACGTGAACAAATGTAAAGTGATCATCGAAGGGGGATATAAGCCTGATCAAGTTTTTAATATGGATGAGACAGGCTTATTTTGGAAACGAATGCCCTCTCGCACCTTTATAATGCAGGACGAAGCCAAAGCCTCTGGATTTAAAGCCCAAAAAGATCGTGTGACTCTGGTTATGTGTGGAAATGCTGCGGGCTTTATGATAAAACCAGGGCTTATTTATAGGTCAAAAAATCCGAGAGCCCTAAAAAACAAAAATAAGAATGCGTTGCCCGTTTACTGGATGCACATTGCAAAGGCTTGGATGACAAAAGTGCTCAATCTGGATTGGTTCCAACATTATTTCATTCCGGAAGTCAAGCGTTACTTGAGAGGAAAAGGACTAGATTTTAAAGTGCTTCTGCTCGTGGACAAGGCCGGAGGCCACGCTGATGATTTGTCGTATGATGGTGTGCAAATTGAATTTCTCCCGCCAAACACCACATCGCTGATTCAGCCCTTGGACCAAGGCATCATCCTCGCTTTCAAAGCGCTCTATACGCGCAACACCCTGCAGCATCTTGTTGAGGCTATGGACTCGGATCAAGATTTCTCACTAAAGGCCTACTGGCGTGAATACACGATTGCATCATGTCTCCAAAATATTCAGAGGGCCATTCATGAGATGAAAACTGAAACTTTAAATGTCTGCTGGAAAAAACTGTGGCCAGAGGCAGTGCACAACCCCACCGGATGCTCTCTTGATGAGATCCATCACTCTGCGGTAGATACAGCTGTGAATCTGGCTAAACAGCTTGGGGGAGATGGCTTTAATGATATGACTCTCGATGACATTAATGCCCTGATTGATGCCCACTCACAACCGCTGACTGATGAAGACCTGGCAGAGATGACAAAGCCACCAAGTGAGGATGATGGAGAAGAGGAAGAAGAGGACACAAGTGTTGATAAAGAGGAGGAGGATGGACTAACACTTGATCGCTTGGCGACCATGGTGAGAATGGCCACTGAACGTCAGAGAGCTGCACAAGAATGGGACCCTTTGATGTTCCGTTCATTACAGTTCTCAAATATAATCAAAGGTGGCATGTCTGTTTATAAGAATCTTCTGGCCCAGAAGAAAAAACAGTGCCAACAACTACCCATAACTATGTTCTGCACTCGGAAAAAAACACCTGCACCAAGGCCTTCAGAGGAAAAAGACGTTACAGCGGAGCGGCGCCAGGACAAAGAGGCACCTTCAGAGGAACTGTGAAATACGCGAGTTACTGGTAATATTTCGATTTAAAGCTTTCGTGACTGCAATGATTCATCTTCTTTGGTTCTTTCGGTAAAGTCACGTAGAATGAGAATAAAATAATAAAATTTATTTTATCAATTTATTATTTTATTCTCATTCTACGTGACTTTACCGAAAGAACCAAAGAAGATTACTGGTAATAATTTCTTATGTGTCAAACCTCGTAGATTGATCATTAAAATTAAATTTGTTAAAAATGTTTGGGCTTGAAAACAGGTTTTGATCTTTGGTTTAATTTACTAATTTTGTACTTATTTTTTTAAATCTGTGAAAGTTTGAACTTTGAGAGTGTTTAAATAAGAGAGAAATGTGAGAAAATGTTAATCCCTGTCTGAGAAAAGTGTATAAAAGTGTGTGGTTAGGGGTTTTACGGCCTTGAAACATATATAATTGTAAAAAATAAAGCTGATTACTTCGCGGATTTCGTCTATTGCGGGTTATTTTTAGAACGTATCCCCCGCGATAAACGAGGGACCACTGTACAACAAAAAGATGGGAGACGAGAATTCAACAAACCTGAAAAAACATTATGTGAAGCACATCCAGTCAGGCCCACAACACAGTTAGGCACTTCCTGGCAGACCACGAATTTCAGAAGAGTGTTAAATTTCGTGTTCAACCTTTGGATTGCACATACCAGCATAGATAGAATGAAAAATATGAGGTACACGGTCAGTAGAAATACATATACAAGTCCACCAAGAGGTAAGGAGGGAGGAAAGACGGATAGGGAGGCAGAGAGAGAGAGGGGGGGCCGGAGGGATGAGCAGAAGCTTAAATAGGAAACACGGTTGGAGGGGGGGAGGGGCCAGAGCGAGAGCGGCAGCACAAACACGCACATCTTACACATACAAAACGGCAGCTCAAAAAGGACCACCTCTTGTAAATACAAAACGGCAGCTCAATAAATGGCCACTCATGTAAATACAAAACGGCAGCTCAAAAAAGGGCACATCTTACACATAATTACAACGGTAACTTCCCCGTAGAAGTGTGATAATAAAGTATTAAAAAGCTTTCGTGACTGCATAAAATTCTACATACGTGACTTTACCGAAAAAAAACAATGAGTAATGCAGTCACGAAAGCTTTAATACTTTATTATCACACTTCTACGGGGAAGTGACCGCTGTAATTAGGTGTAAGATGTGCCCTTTTTTGAGCTGCCGTTTTGTATTTACAAGAGGTGGTCCTTTTTTGAGCTGCCGTTTTGTATGTGTAAGATGTGCGTGTTTGAGCTGCCGCTCTCGCTCTGGCCCCTCCCCCCCTCCAACCGTATTTCCTATTTAAGCTTCTGTTCATCCCTCCACCCCCCCCCCCCCCCACTCTCTCTGCCTCCCTATCCGTCTTTCCTCCCTCCTTACCTCTTGGTGGACTTGTATATGTATTTCTACTGACCGTGTACCTCGTATTTTTCATTCTATCTATGCTGGTATGTGCAATCCAAAGGTTGAACACGAAATTTAACACTTCTGAAATTCGTGGTCCGCCAGGAAGTGTCTAACTGTGTTGTTGGCCTGACTGGATGTGCTTCACATAATGTTTTTTCAGGTTTGTTGAATTCTCGTCTCTCATCATTTTGTTGTATTTACCTCCGTGATTTGTTCTTGACACCTGATGAAGATCGCTTGCGTTGTGATCGAAACGTCGTGATTGTTTTTTGTTTGAATATGATTTTATTGTATTTCTACATACGTGACTTTACCGAAAAAACCAATGAGTAATTTTATGCAGTCACGAAAGCTTTAATATTCTAGATTTGAAGCTTTTGTGACTGCAAGGATCCATACTCTTTGGTTCTATTCGGTAAAGTCACGTAGGTAAAAATAAAATAACAAAAATCACGACGTTTCGGCCACAACACAAGTGGCCTTCATCAGGTGAAGGGACCGGACTGTCCAGAGGACAGCGTTGGAGTGAAGACAGCCAAGCCCAGGTCGCGTCCTTTAAGCTGTGTGGGAGGAAACAAAAAACGCCTTGACAAAGGAATTAGCATAAAATGATGTACTGGACCGGCACGGTGGGGGTGGGGGGGGGGAGGAGTTTACATAATGTTGGTGTGAAGGGAAATAAGCTGCTTTGAAAGTTTGGGATACCACTACTTGAAAAAATATACTGTACCATTGAAAATTAGTTTAATGTTTGGTTTGATTTAGAACATCTTTCCAATGACTGCTTAATTTGAAACCATCCTCTCGGTTGAAATTGTGTCTGTGTTTGTAAATCTGAATTGCCTCGTGGACAAATCTCTGATAAAAACCCGTGGGTTTGCAGAGAACCTTGGTATCGGAGAAAACTATATCGTGATCACCCACAGCATTGTAACAGTGATCAGCTACGGCAGAAGAATTCGTTCTGCCATGTTTCAAATCTGATTTGTGCTCGCGAATTCGGTCAGAGACATGTCGTTTCGTCTCCCCGATATAGCAGTCACCACAGGTGCAGCTCAATTTGTAAATCCCTCCTTAAAACCTTCTGCTGCAAGACCCTCTAGATTCTATGGTCTCCCCAAGATTCATAAAGAAGGCACTCCACTACGACCCATCGTATCCACGATCAACTCCCCTACCTATAAGCTAGCACATTTTCTGTCAGATACCTTGCTACCTTTCACTGGCAAGACCTCCTCAGCAGTACTTAACTCAGCTCATTTGGTCTCTATGGTCAAAGACGTTCTGTCCCCTGACGCTATCCTTGTCAGCTTCGATGTGGTCTCCCTGTTCACCAAGGTCCCGGTACCTGATACCATTGAAATAATTGAAAATTTGGTACAACATGGACTAGACCCCGATACACCTGCGCTGATTAGACACTGCCTCACCAATACCTACTTTACTTGGAATGGCACCTTCTACAAACAAAATGAGGGTACCCCCATGAGTTCTCCCTTATCACCAGTGACAGCCAATGTTTTCATGGAGAAATTTGAATCAGACGCCATCCAGACTTCCACCCTCAGACCTTCCCTGTGGAAGAGATATTTGGATGATACTTTCGTCATTTGGCCACATGGCCTCCCAGCTTTGAACCTTTTCCTACACCACATCAATTCTAGATATCCCGCCATCAAATTCACCATGGAAGTGGAGAAAGATGGCAAGCTACCATTCTTGGATGTTCTGTTTGAGAGGAGACCTGATGGCTCACTGGGGCATTCTGTCTACAGGAAACCCACCCACACAGATTCCTACTTGAAACCTGATTCCCACCACCACCCAGCTCAAAATAATTATCTCATCAAAACGTTATACCACAGGACACATTGCATTTCGGACCAACACCACCTGACCAGTGAATTAAAACATGTACACCTGGCCCTCAAGAGAAACGGATACTCTGACCGTACCATCCGCCAAGATATTTCTCCCTCCATACAGAAACAACCACTTGATACTCCGGTCAAAACCATCACACTACCATATATAGCAGGCGTTACTAAAAAGATCTCCCAAATTCTAAACAAACACAAGATCCTGGTCCGGTTCAATACAGTACACAAAATCCGTGACCTGATCCCATCCGTGAAGGATGTCGTTCCTGACTTACAGTACCCCGGGGTTTACAAATTGAGCTGCACCTGTGGTGACTGCTATATTGGGGAGACAAAACGACATGTCTCTGACCGAATTCGCGAGCACAAATCAGATTTGAAACACGGCAGAACGAATTATTCTGCCGTAGCTGATCACTGTTACAACGCTGTGGGTGATCACGATATAGTTTTCTCCGATACCAAGGTTCTCTGCAAACCCACGGGTTTTTATCAGAGATGTGTCCACGAGGCAATTCAGATTTACAAACACAGACACAATTTCAACCGAGAGGATGGTTTCAAATTAAGCAATCATTGGAAAGATGTTCTAAATCAAACCAAACATTAAACTAATTTTCAATGGTACAGTATATTTTTTCAAGTAGTGGTATCCCAAACTTTCACAGCAGCTTATTTCCCTTCACACCAACATTATGTAAACTCCTCCCCCCCCCCCCACCCCCACCGTGCCGGTCCAGTACATAATTTTATGCTAATTCCTTTGTCAAGGCGTTTTTTGTTTCCTCCCACATAGCTTAAAGGACGTGACCTGGGCTTGGCTGTCTTCACTCCAACGCTGTCCTCTGGACAGTCCGGTCTCTTCACCTGATGAAGGCCACTTGTGTTGTGGCCGAAACGTCGTGATTTTTGTTATTTTATTTTTACCTACGTGACTTTACCGAATAGAACCAAAGAGTATGAAAGCTTTAATACTTTATTATCACACTTCTATGGGGAAGTTACCGTTGTAATTATGTGTAAGATGTGCCCTTTTTTGAGCTGTCGTTTTGTATTTACAAGAGGTGGTAATTTTTTGAGCTGCCGGTTTGTATTTACAAGAGGTGGTCCTTTTTGAGCTGCCGTTTTGTATGTGTAAGATGTGCGTGTTTGAGCTGCCGCTCTCGCTCTGGCCCCTCCCCCCCTCCAACCGTATTTCCTATTTAAGCTTCTGTTCATCCCTCCGGCCCCCCCCCCTCTCTCTCTCTCTCTGCCTCCCTGTCCGTCTTTCCTCCCTCCTTACCTCTTGGTGGACTTGTATATGTATTTCTACTGACCGTGTACCTCGTTTTTTTCATTCGATCTATGCTGGTATGTGCAATCCAAAGGTTGAACACGAAATTTAACACTTCTGAAATTCGTGGTCCGCCAGGAAGTGTCTAACTGTGTTGTTGGCCTGACTGGATGTGCTTCACATAATGTTTTTTCAGGTTTGTTGAATTCTCGTCTCTCATCTTTTTGTTGTATTTACCTCCGTGATTTGTTCTTGACACCTGATGAAGATCGCTTGCGTTGTGATCGAAACGTTAGTGATTGTTTTTGTTTTAACATAATTTTATGGCAGAGCCTGTTGTACTATGGGTCTTAATGGGACATGTTGTGGCTTGGCTCTCCAACACACCGGTGTGCTGTACTAGTGACGAATTGGCATGTTCTGTTTACATGACAACCGTTACTAGTTGGCTGTGTCGGGTGGTGGCGGGTTTTAAAGACACATTGATATATTTACGCGATCTCACCCAAAAACCTCTATTATGGATTTGTTCGTTCGTTTCTCAGTCCACTTGTCCTGGTAAGGGTCGCGGCGGCAGAATGGTGACGAGTGGCGGTCCAGACCTCCCTTTCCCTGCCAATGGACTCTTCCTGCGGGAATTCCCAGGCGTTCCCAGGCCAACCGGGTCTACCTGAGCTGCTGCTCCCTGCGTCTGCCTGAGCTGCTGCTCCCTGCGTCTGCCTGAGCTGCTGCTCCCTGGGCCTGCCTGAGCTGCTGCTCCCTGGGCCTGCCTGAGCTGCTGCTCCCTGGGTCTGCCTGAGCTGCTGCTCCCTGGGCCTGCCTGAGCTGCTGCTCCCTGCGTCTGCCTGAGCTGCTGCTCCCTGCGTCTGCCTGAGCTGCTGCTCCCTGGGCCTGCCTGAGCTGCTGCTCCCTGGGCCTGCCTGAGCTGCTGCTCCCTGGGTCTGCCTGAGCTGCTGCTCCCTGGGCCTGCCTGAGCTGCTGCTCCTTGCGTCTGCCTGAGCTGCTGCTCCCTGGGTCTACCTGAGCTGCTGCTCCCTGGGTCTGTCTGAGCTGCTGCTCCCTGCGTCTGCCTGAACTGCTGCTCCCTGGGCCTGCCTGAACTGCTGCTCCCTGGGTCTGCCTGAACTGCTGCTCCCCGGGCCTGCCTGAGCTGCTGCTCCCTGGGCCTGCCTGAACTGCTGCTCCCTGGGCCTGCCTGAGCTGCTGCTCCCTGGGCCTGCCTGAGCTACTGCTCCCTGGGCCTACCTGAGCTGCTGCTTCCCGGGTCTGCCTGAGCTGCTGCTCCCTGGGCCTGCCTGAGCTGCTGCTTCCCGGGTCTGCCTGAGCTGCTGCTCCCTGGGCCTGCCTGAACTGCTACTCTCTGGGCCTGCCTGAGCTATTGCTTCTTGGGCCTGCCTGAGCTGCTGCTCCCCGGGTCTGCCCGAGCTGCTGCTCCCCGGGTCTGCCTGCTCCCACGGCTCCCGTCACGCAGTGGTCGTAGCGCCACCGTCGAGAAGCCGGAGCAGCGCCTGGGAGCCATGGACGCCCTCCAATTTACAAGACACCGGGCATCTGGGTACAAGCTAGTGCTAGCTCCACACCTGGATAATGCCACCACTCCACTCCACCACCGACTTCCACTAAATCAACAACCACCTTCATTTGGACTGCATTGACATTCACCGAGAAACTGGACTAATTCGCCGTCCGCTTCACAGAGGCTCTGATCGTATGTTCAATTACAACTACTCAACCCCAAACTCCATTCCATCCATCTGGTCCTGTTTGCGCCCCACAACTTCCTTAATACGTCATCACAACATACGACACGTGCACCTAACCAATCTCCGCCCCATCCCTCGGTCCTCTCAATTCACCATGAAGCAAAGTCACCTGAAACTGGCTTTGCTCAACACCCGCTCACTAAACAATAAAAGCCTCATTTTAAATGAATTCATTACTGACAATAACCTGGATTTTCTCTGTATCACTGAAACTTGGCATAAACCTATGGACTATTTCGCACTCAACCAGACTACACCTACAGGATATACATACATGGACAAACCCCGATCTGAGGGGCGGGGAGGTGGTGTTGCTGCAGTGTACAGAAAGGACATTAAAACATCCACCATCTCCATCCCTGCTGTTCAGCCCTTTGAACACATCACTTTCAAACTCTCTGGTCCAACTCCTCTAGTTACTGCCATAATCTACTGACCCCCCAAACCAAAACCTTCCTTTCTCTCTGACTTTTCTGACTTTTTAACTCAGTCATCTGCCATCTCACCTTCTGTTCTGCTCCTGGGGGATTTCACAATCCACATTGACACTGACTGTAAATTTGCTACTGAATTCCTGGAACTGCTACACTGCTTCAATTTCACCCAACATGTCAACTTTCCAACTCACAGCCGTGGTCACATTTTGGATCTGGTCTGCTCTACTGGTCTCACCATACCGCTCCTCGAGCCCCACAACCTCAACATCTCGGACCACCTGGCTATCACCATGAACATTGATCTCCCCATTTCTACAACCAAGGACAAAAGGACAATTGCTTTCAGAAATTTTAAATCCATCTCTAGTCCTGCCCTTTCAGCCTCTCTTGCCAGCAAAATGTCCTCCTCCCCCCCCCCCCCCCCCCGTGACTGACAACCCTTCCGACCTCACCAACTACTACAATGAAACACTTTCCACCAGTCTTGATCATCTGGCTCCCATTAAAACTAAAACTGTTTCATTCACTCACTCTGTTCCCTGGTACACTCCTATTCTGCACAAAATGAAATCCCGTAAGCGTCAGCTTGAAAGGCTCCATAAGAAAACTGGTTGAACTGTTCATCTACAAGCTTACACAGATTACCTTCAGCAGTATAAGGAAGCTCTTAACACTACCCGGTCCACCTACTACTCACACCTCATACATTCTGGTTCAACCAACCCAAAGGCTCTTTTCGACACCGTAAATAAACTTCTCAAACCCAGTGACAATATCGTCAACTCATTCACAACTGATAAATGCAACACCTTTCTATCATTCTTTCAGACCAAAATTGACACCATTTACACCAACCTGTCCTCTTCTTCTGCTACCACTGTCTACTCTGTCATTCCATCATTTGTTCCCCCCACCACACCTCTCAGCCACTGTCTCAGTTCTCCCCATTGTCGCCGGGGGAGCTGTTTAAAATCTTGACAGGGATGAAAACATCAACATGTGTCCTGGACCCCATCCCATCCCACCTCATCAAAGACTGTTTACCAGCAATCTCCGCACTCATCATAAAAATCATTAACTCCTCTCTCAGCTCTGGCTCAATTCCACGTTCACTCAAACTGGCTGCTGTCACCCCCATTCTCAAAAAACCTGGACTTGACCCCAACATTATGTTAAACTTTCGGCCCATTTCCAATCTCCCCTTTCTGTCTAAGATACTGGAACGCACTGTCGCAAAACAACTTAAAACCCACCTCTCCTCAAATGACCTGTTCGAACCATTTCAATCCGGCTTCCATTCACAACACAGCACTGAAACAGCCCTCCTCAGAGTTACTAACGACATCCTCCTCTCCAGCAGACTCTGGTCACCTCAGCATCCTCATCCTCCTGGACCTCACTTCAGCTTTTGACACTATCAACCACACCATTCTTCTCTCTCGCCTCAAATCTACCCTCAACATCACTGGCACTGCCCTCTCCTGGCTCCAATCTTATCTCACCGACAGACAACAATTCATCCACATCAACAACTGCACCTCCTCCACCACTCCGTTGTCCCAAGGTGTCCCCCAGGGCTCGGTGCTAGGTCCTTTTCTCTTCATACTATACCTGCTTCCCCTTGGCAGTCATTCGCCACCATGGTCTTAACTTTCACTGCTATGCCGATGATGTCCAGCTCTACATCTCCACCAAATCCATCACCTCCGCCACCCACTCCACTCTCTCTAACTGCCTCGCTGACATTAAATCGTGGATGCACACCAATTTCCTTAAACTTAACTGCGATAAAACAGATATGATCATCATCGGTCCCAAATCTATCACTAAATCCATTCGCAGTTTCTCCGTCACTGTCGATACCTACACCCTGTCTCCATCCCTTCAAAGTCGCAACCTTGGAGTCATTTTTGACAATAACCTCTCCTTTGAACACCACATTAAAAAATCACCAGAACTGCCTTGTTTCACCTCAAAAACATCTCCAGACTTCGCCCATCACTCTTTCTCCGCTGCAGAAACCCTCATCCACACCTTCATCACCTCCAGAATCGATTACTGCAACAGCATCCTATACGACACCTCAACCAAAACATTAAATAAACTCCAGTACATCCAGAACTCTGCTGCTCGTCTGCTCACTCACACCCGCACCGGTAACCATAATACCCCTGTCCTCCAGAACCTCCATTGGCTCCCGGTCCCACAACAAATTCAATTCAAAATCCTCCTCCTCACACATAAAGCCCTTCATAACCAGGCCCCTTCCTACCTCACTGACCTGCTCCACCGCCACAACCCATCCCGTAGCCTTCGCTCATCTGACGCCAACCTCCTGACTCCACCTCTCAGGACCAAGCATCGAACCTGGGGCGATAGAGCCTTCTCTATAGCTGCCCCCTCACTTTGGAACTCTCTCCCAAAACAAATCCGTGCCTGCACCGACCTTCCAGCGTTCAAATCATTGACTAAAACTCACCTTTTAAAAATAGCTTTTAATGTTTAGCTAAGTTTGATGTGTTTTAGTGTTTCTACCATTTGATGTTTTTGCTGCTTTATGATTTTATGTAAAGTGTCTTTGAGTATTCAGAAAAGCGCTCACAATATTTTTATTATTATAGTCCTCCGCCAACGTAATATTCATTTGCGTGGATAAAATGTGTTTGATTAAGACGCGAGCGACGTTCTTTCTCGGGGGCAAACGCAAAGGCGAGTCGGTCAACGCGGAACGGATTCCGGTGCATTCGCAAAATCGCCAACTCGGCGTAACTTACGATGTGAAGGTGAAGCGTGTCTCCAGCGCGTTTGCTGGGGGACCGTCGTCACCCGGCTCGGAAGGCGATGGCATGGTGCAGACGTCCGGGGTGCTTGGGCCCCACGGGGAGGATGGCTCAGTGCCCCGTGCCAGCGGTAATGGTGATTTAGTAGCCGTGCCGACGCCGCTCAAGCGGCGCTGCAAAGACAAAGCCACGACATGTCGCACGGCTCAGAAAGTCACTCGGGAATGCCGCAGAAGTTTCCTATCTCCAGAACTGGCACCGACATCAATACTGAACACCGTGACACTTCGCCGATATCGTCGAGGAGCGTAAAACCATCATGGAAACTCCGCTCATCCTCGCAGCAGCAGCGGCTTTTGGCTGGCCATCGAGCAAAGACAGTCACCGCATCGTGCGCTTTTAGACACGCTTCTCTGGGCCGTCTGGAATGCTCTTCCTTCTGATATTAGGAAGCCACTGGGAGATATGCACTTTTAAATCATCATCTAGATTGAAAACTTTTTTATTTAGAACTGCTTTTTGTGTTTAGTTTGTTGTCCTTCCTCTGCACCTCCGATTAGCACAGCTGGCTACGTATGGTGCGAAAGAAGTTCAACATACAGTACATATAGACATACAACTGGAATCAACCTTCCTGTTAACTATTATTATTCCCGATACACGATTGTGTATCGGGCACCTCAACATTTTGTTAAGTGATGTAATGATCTGGCAAAATGTATTGCTGTCAAGCCCTCCACCACCAACCACTACATTTCCAAATAAAATTGTCAGGTGCGCAAGCGTTTAACGAAGCGCTAATTATTATCGTTGTGTCTCGCTGGTAGATTGTCTGCGCACTAAGTGAAAGAACAATGCTCACGATAAAATGTAGAAATTTTACACGACGTTTCACTTGAAACCGCGCAAAGATTTAGGATTTCAAGACGTACATTTGGCCGTGAAAATCTACGCATCAAGATACTTCACTCAACGGTCTGCAATTAACGAGACATTTTTCAATGTCTTAACTAGGAAACAAACGCATCACAAACCATCGGCCCCTGCTGAGAAAACTTAGCAGGACCCTCTTCCTGAATAAGTGACTTGAGACTGAGTCAGGCTTTCCTGGGTCAAAAAAAAATATTATAATAATCTACACAAACAGAGAAGAGTTGACCTGCAGATAAGAGCTATGCACTGAGACCACCACAGTGGAGTTTGAGATGATTTCTGTCACCTTCACATCCGGTACATCCAGAACCAGAGTCTCTGGAACAAAGATAAGCTCCTTCTTCTGCTGTCTCCTCTGGTGCTGCTGGCACAGTGTTGCCGTGGGACAATCTGGAACATCCCACATCACACCGGGCTTAAACATTAACACGGGGTGCAGACATCACGTGCCCGAGCCTAAGCCCGTGCAGAGAAGAAAAAATTATCGCACGGAGAAGCGCACAGCGATGTACACTGGTAATTAATGAGAGGCCGGAAGCGGAACATGTGGGCTCAGAGAACGAACGTGAATTAAGAGACATCATTTTGACTATTTGGAAAAGTGGGGGCTTGAGTAGATGTCGCAAGAAGGGATGACGGCTAACGTACGAGACTAGTGACAGAATGGCATCCAATGGAGGGATTGCGCTCTGGAGGATAAGACCACACGAGGCGGACCGATGGATCGTGGCATCATGGGACGGCGAGAGATGGCAACGGTGTGTGGAAAGGCCTTCATCCAGCAGTGGAGAGACAGGCTCTTGACAAGGACGATTGATCTGTTAAACGACGAGCGGAACTCACCGTGGGTCCGCTCCAGTGAGTGGTGGCGGTACCGTCGCTTCCGCACAAGGCTGCCCTTGTTGAGTCGCAGGGCGGAGGTGCGGCCCGGCTGCTGCCCATCTCTGCCCCTCGCGCTGCCCTTGGAGCCTGCGCCCTCGGCGTTGTCGTTGCCCTCGTCGTTGTTGATGTTACCCTCGTTGTCACCGTGTCCCCCGGGCTCCACTTGGATCGTGACCCCCGACTGCCTGCACATGCCCAGCCACCGCACTCGCTCAGCGAGAGAACTGAAAGCCGACCCCACAGCCAAGACTATGTCGTACAACAGCCAAGGCTACCGTAACTTGATTGGCGCAAGGCTAACGCTGTTTTCTTGAATCAGAATTTTTTTTCCCCTTTGTCGTCCCTTGACGTTATTCCAAAAATGTAGGCCATGTGTGCCTGCATCACGTGCCAACTCATTTGTTTAGAACTGCTTTATATGTTTAGTTTGTTGTCCTTCCCCCGCACCTCCCGACTGGCTACGTACGGTGCAAAAGAAGTTCAACATACGTACATACATGCAAGTGACCTCTAGTCCACACAGCAAATGGCAGCACTTTCCTACAAACCTTGCCACACAGGGTGATGTTCATCGCATGATAATCAAGCCAATGTCTTTCTTTCATTTTCAGAGCTGGAATTCAGAAAAATTACATGTAGAACCAAATTTTATACGATGCGTTTTTGCAATGTGCAATTGATTATAACTTGGCCGACACCATCAACTCGCTACACATGAGAACCTGGCTTAATCACAGGTAACTGCCGGGATTTAAACTATTGAAACTATTTTTATTTTATCAGGTAAGGCCCACTGAGCTATATAGCGCTTTTTAAAAAGCCACCTGCCTATCACAAATCATAGCTCAACGAAGTGGCTTATCATGTGGACATTTATAGCAGCCAAATACTCTAAACGCACGTTGATTCTAAATGTGGAGGGAAAAACCGGAGGACCTGGCAAAAAATCCACGCGACCACAAGGAGACACGCAAACTCAAAATATGCAGCAGGCGTCAGGGTTGGGATCGAACCCACGACCTCCTGCATACCAGGTCGAGGTAGTGAACATCTCACCACCGTAGCGAGATGAACCCAGGATCTCAGTGGGACCGGCTCAGCATGCTGAGTTTGGGGCTAAGAGGCCCTTGTGTGGCCTAAACGGCCCCAGTGTGGCCTGTGGCTCTCACCACTGATGCTGCAGCTCCCGAATGGTCTCCTTCTGCCTCTTGAGCTGCTCTTTGAGACGCCGGTTGGAATCAAACGCCTCCTCCAACGTCAGTGCATCCCTGCCACACCACCGGACCCCAGCAGAAACCATAATTTTGTAAAGATTACAATTGCTTTTTTGTTCCCATATTTTTTTCATAAAAAAAAAAACTTGGGAAAAGAGACGACGATACATAATTCCAAATTGGAATTGTTTATTAATTTACTAGGTAAAGCCCACTCAACTGTGTAGCTCAATGAAGTGGCTTATCCTGTGGAAATTTATAACAGCCAAATACACGAACCACATGTTCATTCTAAATGTGGAGGGAAAACCGGAGAAACCGGAGAAAATTCCTTGTGACCACGGGGGAGAACATGCAAACTCCAAATATACAGCAGGCTTTAGTGTCGGGATCGGACCCACAAATTCCTACATACCAGATGAGGGAGTTAACATCTCGCCACCTCAGTGTGAGGGAAGAAGCAGAAATATTGGTGTGATTTATTGTTGGGGGTGGCTGGGCGAGTGTGTAAATGGGCGGTGGAGTGGTTGACTATTGTGGTTGAGTCAGTCGTGTGAATCGTCGAGCGAGTGAGTGTTGAGACCTGCAGCGTGGTGGTTGAAGAGTGTGGACGAGATAAAACAGTCTACCTGATAATCCAAGTAATTGGTTCATTTACCGATTATCGGTTCCATTACTCAACTAGGTCGGATAAAATGAGAATAGTTACGGTAAAAAAGGGGAGATGTAGAATCACATGACACTGGGCTGTGTCCTTTATTTCCTTTAAAAAAATGTGTACTTTGCAGGGGGAGGGAAAGTAGGGGGGGGGGGGGGTACTGCCGCAACTGACTTATTCCGTGAATTACTGTTTTTTTTTACAAAACCTCATCCCGTTAATATCATAAACAAAGATTTCCGTGCCAAAATCCAGGCCTTTACGAAAAAATAAGCGTTTCTCAACTCACAGGCAGCGCTCCTGCTTGAGCTTGTTGATCTTGTCGAGCAGGGCTGAAGGGGACGGGGAAAGAGAAGGGACAAAACCACACTGGCTGCTGTTATGCCCTGTAAAAGTATAACCGTGATAACTGCTCACAAGACTAAAACGGACCACCAGGCTTGCTCGAAAACGGCGGCTTTGGTGAAGATTTTATTGACGCAACAACCTGCTGCTCATATGCTCTGTTGTTCATTCATAATACTAACTTATATACCCCAGTAAAGCATCAGAAAACTACTTATTTAAGCAGGATCCCTGCTTTATTGGCATGTTTAGTCAACACAAATGACATTGAATGTCAGAATAAGAATCCGAGTATGTATTTATTCTGGCAAAAACTGATAAGCTATGAAGCTCTTTTTCACAATTGTCTAGTCGGGGTGGGTCAGCAAGTTACAACAAACAACAGAGCAAACGATAGGAGTGCAAATTAGAGAAAAGAGATAAGCGAGTCACTATGAGAGGAAACTGGAGAATTTGGAGGAAACCCATGCAGAACAGGGTGAGAGAATATACAAGCTCCACCAATGCCCGCCATTCACCACTAAATAACGGTGACGTCATCACGGCACTTGAGCCAGGCCAGGTGCACTTTGAGGCCATGTGAAGGGTCGAAGGCTCACTCACAGGAGGTCGCAGGACAGACCCAGCCACCATGGGTTGACTGAGAGAACTGGCAGATGCACCAGCTGTGCCCCCTATTTTTCCAAACTCCAAAGATCCCCCGTTTATCCTTAACAGACTATTGGGGCAAGTACTGTTAACGAGCACCAAGGAAGGCTGGTACGGCACACGAGGGGGGTGGGTGGCCAGCACCACGCCCGGCCACCTTTGTCTCCCACAGTGGTGATGTTTTTACACACCGCACCAGGTACTCATATGAGGTTGAATTGACCTAGGGGAGGCCCAGGATCAATTCAGATAATCTGTCACTGGTGTTGGCGGTGAACAGGAATCGAACCCGAGTTCGTAGCACAGTGTGCTTAACCGCGACACTATCGCTTACTACAAACTCCAACAACAACCACCATTCGCCACTAAGTGGCGGTGATGTCACCACGGTGCTTGTGCCAGGCTAAGTGTACTTTTAAGGCCATGTGAAGTGTCAAACGCTCGCTGGCAGGTCATGGGACAGACCCAGGTGCCATGGGTTGACTGACTGAGATGCACAAACTCCACACACTCATACACACACACAACAAACTCACATAACACTCTATAAAATATGGGGATAATCTACAAACTCCTCGCAGAAAGGTTCCTGAGTTAGTAACTGAACCCAGGTATTTCTTGCTATGAGGCACAAGTGTTACCACTGCATCACCCTGCCGACCATGGACCACCCTTCGCATGAAATGTGTCTGGTCTGCTCCAAACTCACCCTCAACTCTGCGGCTGTGAAACTCCTTCAGCTGTGACAGAATTCTGTGGAAGCCGATGTCACCGCTCTGTCCCGGGCTCCCACTCAACGCGGAGTTGCTGAGCAGAATTGCAGGTGGTCTCGGGGAAGGGGAGAGACCCGAGACTCTCTCTGCCATGCTCAAGTCCTGCATTCAAAAGTGTGGTTGGACATCACCTGTGAATGCATGCTATGCAACTGTGAATAACGACAAGCACCATATAGATGCGTGTTTTGAAGACTATAAGAGCGAGGCCTTCGAGTCAGTTGATGACCAGGATATGTGGGCAATTATGGACAAGATAGGTTTCTCCAACTTTTGATGAAGATCCTGCAACGCCTGTATAACAACCGAGACTCTGCAGGGAGAGTGGCAGTAAAGCTTTTCCATTCATCTTTGAATACAAAATGTACACTCAAATTTTGATACTATGCTGTAGGACAGCGTTCTTCACAAATTTTCAGTGGGGGGCCACTTTCGCCAATAAGACATCACCAGTGTGTGAGGGCCGCCACATATTTGAAACCATTGAGGTTAACAGCACGATGATGGGGGGGGAGGGGGTGTTTTCACATGTTCTGTATTGTCGGGGGTCGCACTAAAGGCTACCAGGGGCCGCACTAAAGACCACCAGGGGCCGCGGGCCTTGCAACGAAGGACACTGCAGTAGGGGATAAATTCAACATCACTTTGAAGACATAAGTAATTAGGATAAATACTGAACAATACTTTATGCTAACGTACAGGGCATGTGCAGAAGAGACTTGGTATTTGACTGCAAAGGTACTATGAACTATATACAATGATGATACTACCGTACAGAACTTTCAAAAACGTATAACTATGAGAGCAATGAAAATAGTTTTAGCTGTATGCATGACCAAACGCAGCCCCCTCAAATGCGTGACCACTGTGCGTGCGTTAGTTATTTTTGCGAACTCTTTGCAACATCAAAGTCTATGAATGAGCTCAAGCCTGCCATAAATCACGTGGTTCGCTCCGTGCAGCTCACTTCTGCTCGCTTCTTCTCTCTTCCCTCCCCTATCATCATCATCATCATCCCTCCGTGGTCACGATGATTTTTTTCTCCGGGATCTCCCGTTTTTTCCCCTCTGCATTTAGTATCAACCAACATCACGCGTTTAGAGTGTTTGGCTGCTATACATTTGCGCATGATAAGCCACTTCGTTGAGCCATCATTTGTGATAGAAAGAGCTCAATAGCTCAGTGGGGCCTTCTTACCTGGTAAAATAAAATAAAAATTGGTTAGTCTTTAGTTTTCATCTTTCTTCATGCTGCTCATATTGAGTCGTGCTCTCAATGATTGCTCGTCCCTTTCCCAGTCATCTTTTTTATCCAACATTTTTTTGTTTTACCAGGTAAAGCCGACTGAGCTATTCGCTATGTTTCAGAAACGACTGGCCACAACTGATAGGTCAACGAAGCGGATTAACACGTGGATATGTACAGCAGCCTAATACTCTCTAAACACGTGATGTTGATGATAAATATGGAGGGGAAACCCGGAGGACTTGGAGAAGAATCCAGGCGACCACGGGGAGAGACACCACAAACTCCAAATATACAGCAGCAGCAGGCGAGTCGTCAGAGTCGGTGTCGAACCCACGACCTCCTCCATACCAGGCGAGGGAGTTAACATGTTCCAGCCACCGCGGCGCTGCTCTCTCCCCGTCCCCTCTGGCTACCCTTGTGCAGAAGTGACTCAACTCTCCCCGTCCCGTGGTGGTGGTGTTGATGCCAAGGGTAAAAAAATGGTTGCATAACAATCTCCTAAAAACTGTTGATCGGGAAAATGTTTAAACTTTAATTATTACCCCCATTGCGTACACAATTGCAGTCTCCAAACTCGTATCACACACTACTGTCTCTACTGGCCTCTCTATTTCAGTCAGAATATTAATTTAAAGTGGAAGAATCCGATGAGTTATAAAGCTCTCTTATTTTTACAGATTCCCAATAAGGGGCACGGGGTCAGAACGTTACAACACACAAAAACACGATATAAGTACAAAGTGTAGCAAAGGGTAAACAAATCACATTAAAAAACAAATATACACATACAACTAAACACACTTTTATTGTATCTAGTTATATAATCGACGAATGTGTACGTTCATTCGTCTAATCAATCGAGTGCCGTCTAAATGTTTACACCTCTGTGGTCAATGATTGCATACATGTCAACTCATCAGTGCCGACCTTATTACAAACCAATTCAGACATTATTGGTCAACCCGTTCCCCTGCATACTCAATTTCCCTGAACAAGAATACAGGGTAAACTGTATGGGTTGTGACAATTATGGGATTGTTAGCGACGCGGGCGAGGCCCGGGTGGTGTAGGCCTCCCCCACCTCCATCAGCGCGAACGAACAACGCGGCTCCGTACCGTGGTCAGCCACTGCAGGGGACTCTCGCTCGCCGCGATCCGATAATCGATGTTAAACGACGTTGATCGAAGGTAAAACAAAATCCGTTAGTTGAGCACAAATTTAAAACATCCCTCGAGTTCAACACCCGCCTCGGATTTGTCGGCTTCCGCGCTCTGACGTCACGCAAGAACTTCCGCTCACCCCCCCCCTTTCCCGATTGCTGAATGGTACGGCCCAGTTTTGCCATTATGAATGGCCGGTTTAGGGGTCATCCATTTAGTAGGTCCGCAAAAAATTGTCAAAACGTGACCCCCCTTCTTATACGCACGCGTACTTTTTACTCCCCCCACACCTGCGTACGTACGGTTGACGCACCCCCGAATCTTATAGAACGTCCGATATTTAATCCATGCAGAAACGATCAAGGATTAATAATATTAACGTGTATTCTTAGCTCTTTCGGTAAAGTCACGTTGAAGGGAAACAATAAAATAATATATATTTTATCTTCTTTGGTTCTTTCGGTAAAGTCACGTAGAATGAGAATAAAATAATAAATTGATAAAATAAAATAATACAATAATATTCTCACGAGGTTTCGGCCACAACACAAGCGGACAGCGCTGTCCTCCAGACAGTATCGTCCCCTTCACCTGATGAAGGCCGCTTGTGTTGTGGCCGAAACGTTGTGAGAATATTATTGTGTTATTTTATCAATTTATTATTTTATTCTCATTCTACGTGACTTTACCGAAAGAACCAAAGAAGATGAATCCTTGCAGTCACGAAAGCTTGAAATCGAAATATATTTTTATTATTTTATTGTTTCCCTTCAACGTGACTTTACCGAAAGAGCTAAGAATATGAATTACTTCAGTCACGAAAGCTTTAAATCAAAATTTAATATTAACGTGCTTAAGTGTTTAAGCAAACAGATAGTCCACCGCCAGCTGCATTAAATAATTAAGTTGCGTACCTTTAAAAAGTTTGTCTCGTGTCCGCTAGGTTCAAACGCCGACTGAACCCAGTCGAACAGGTTAAGTATCAGAATTTCGTCAACACGCGCCATGTCAGGCTGAAGCACAGCAGCATTCGCTGCAGTCTGCAAATTTCGGTCACAGTCTCTACATTGCTTTTATGGATCTATTTTGGTGATTTCGAAAACGTTTTTTTGGTTTGGCCATATTTGTTGTAGTACGGAGTTAAACTGATGGCTTTAATCTAAGTTGTTTTGTGGTTGTTGTTGTTTGACTTGCATCTCACTGGGATTTTTGCACACAGCGTTGGTGTATGGTGCTTTTTCTGGAAGATTTTGCTGTTTTTCCTGGATTTTTCTGTATGCGCATAGTCACTTTAAGATGTTTTCTTGTTCATGTGTTTTGTTTGTCGCGGTTGCACCCGATTCAAGAGCCGAATGGCTCACAGGGCTATACCAAATACATGAAACTGAAAAGAAAACTGTAAAAATATCCACAGCGTCGCTGACGTTATCATCCAGCCTTCCATTGAGCTGGATCGTCTTGGAAGAAGCCGCAGATACGTCGCCGACCCCGGCAGATGAGAGCCTTGTTTTGATAAGGCTTTATGTAGGTCATCTAGCGTATAGCACAATCGCATTTCCTGCGACCGGCGTCGGTCGCTGACAGCGGCACCAATCGAAGCAATATCAATCATTGCTTCGAGAAGATCTGGATTGTCGTCTGTGATGGCTGGTCTATCGTCTCTATCCCTTGTAAACTTTCGTAGTTTTTGAAACTGAACTGTGGCTAATGTGTAGGCCAATATAGACAAATTATTATCGAGGCCTCACCCGCCCCCCGTTTCCTATGCATACGTCCATTGTCAGTAGACCCCCCCCCCAAACGCAAGCGTACGCATTTGTGTTAATTCCCCCTCCCCCCTCCATGCGTACGTACTAAATGGATGGCCCCTTAGGTAACGCATCACTGGGACGGGTTCATTAAAATGGTGTAACGGATAAAAAACACACCCTCTCGCTTAAATGGTACAGTCCAGTCTTGCCAATACCGAATGACGGGTTAGGAAACGCGTACATTGAGCGGGTTCATTACAAAATATGTAACGGATTATAAAATATGTAACTGATTAAAAAACCTACTCTGGCTTAAATAGTAGGGGTTAGTGAACGCCACTTGAGCAGGTTAATTGTACTCTAAATAGGGAGTAAAACCCCCTTATTAAATGGTACAGCCCAATAATGACAAGAAAAACGGGTTTAGTAAGGTTCGTGGGCTGGTCCATTACGAATTATACGCGTTAAAGTAGGATTGACTGTTGATTACAAGCCCGAAAGATAAATACTACAGATAACGTCACCAGGCGGGTCGATTCCAGGTGATGGGGGTTGTGGTTGCTGGAATGTAATGTTTACATTTAACACTTGCTTTTCATGAAATAAATACGAAAAGTTAGCGGTCCCGTTTAAAGAGATATGGCGGTATGTGATTTCGTGCGTTTTTTGCGTTTATTATTACATCGCTGAATTTTTTATTTGTCAAACATGTTTAAACACGAGTGGAATATTGCAGCGCACAGTAATTCCAACGCTTCTTTTGTTGAGTCATGCAATCGTTGCCCGGTCACACGCACCTCGTCACGTGGATGATGTGAGGGCGAAGGGTGAACGGGGTGAGGGGTGACGTGAGTGGGGGAGGGTTTACGGGGTGAGGGGCGTCACGTGGGTGGTGTAGGTAGCGTGGTGAGGGGCGTCACGTGAGCGGTGTGGGGTAGCGTGGTGAGAGTATCACGTGGGCGGTGTGTGGTAGCGTGGTGAGGGTATCACGTGGGCGGTGTTGGGTAGCGTGGTGAGGGTATCACGTGGGTGGTGTGGGGTAGCGTGGTGAGAGTATCACGTGGGCGGTGTGTGGTAGCGTGGTGAGGGTATCACGTGGGCGGTGTTGGGTAGCGTGGTGAGGGTATCACGTGGGTGGTGTGGGGTAGCGTGGTGAGGGTATCACGTGGGTGGGGTGTTGGGGGTGGGGTAGCGTGGTGAGGAGCGTCACGTGGGTGGTGTAGGTAGCGTGGTGAGGGTATCACGTGGGTGGTGTGTTGGGGGGGGGGTAGCGTGGTGAGGAGCGTCACGTGGGTGGTGTGGGGTAGCGTGGTGAGGTTATCACGTGGGTGGTGTGTTGTTGGGGGTGGGGTAGCGTGGTGAGGAGCGTCACGTGGGTGGTGTAGGTAGCGTGGTGAGGGTATCACGTGGGTGGTGTGTTGGGGGTGGGGTAGCGTGGTGAGGAGCGTCACGTGGGTGGTGTGGGGTAGCGTGGTGAGGTTATCACGTGGGTGGTGTGTTGTTGGGGGTGGGGTAGCGTGGTGAGGAGCGTCACGTGGGCGGTGTGGGGTAGCGTGGTGAGGGTATCACGTGGGTGGTGTGGGGTAGCGTGGTGAGGGTATCACGTGGGTGGTGTGTTGGGGGTGGGGTAGCGTGGTGAGGAGCGTCACGTGGGTGGTGTGGGGTAGCGTGGTGAGGTTATCACGTGGGTGGTGTGTTGTTGGGGGTGGGGTAGCGTGGTGAGGAGCATCACGTGGGTTGTGTGGGGTAGCGTGGTGAGGGTATCACGTGGGTGGTGTGTTGGGGGTGGGGTAGCGTGGTGAGGAGCGTCACGTGAGCGGTGTGGGGTAGGGTGGTGAGGGTATCACATGGGTGGTGTGGGGTAGCGTGGTGAGGGTATCACGTGGGTGGTGTGTTGTTGGGGGTGGGGTAGCGTGGTGAGGGGCGTCACGTGGGCGGTGTGGGGTAGCGTGGTGAGGGTATCACGTGGGTGGTGTGTTGTTGGGGGTGGGGTAGCGTGGTGAGGAGCATCACGTGGGTTGTGTGGGGTAGCGTGGTGAGGGTATCACGTGGGTGGTGTGTTGGGGGTGGGGTAGCGTGGTGAGGAGCGTCACGTGAGCGGTGTGGGGTAGGGTGGTGAGGGTATCACATGGGTGGTGTGGGGTAGCGTGGTGAGGGTATCACGTGGGTGGTGTGTTGTTGGGGGTGGGGTAGCGTGGTGAGGGGCGTCACGTGGGCGGTGTGGGGTAGCGTGGTGAGGGTATCACGTGGGTGGTGTGTTGTTGGGGGTGGGGTAGCGTGGTGAGGAGCGTCACGTGGGCGGTGTGGGGTAGCGTGGTGAGGGTATCACGTGGGTGGTGTGTTGTTGGGGGTGGGGTAGCGTGGTGAGGAGCGTCACGTGGGCGGTGTGGGGTAGCGTGGTGAGGGTATCACATGGGTGGTGTGTTGTTGGGGGTGGGGTAGGATGGTGAGGGTATCACGTGGGTGGTGTGGGGTAGCGTGGTGAGGGGCGTCACGTGGGTGGGGGTGGGGCGTCACGTGGGTGGGGGTGGGGAGCACGTGGCCGGTGGGAGGAGTGCAGGCCCGCCGGCTGCCCGCTTATATAAACGCAGGCATCCCGTACCCGTAGTGAGTGTCAATTATTATTGCTTTCTCGTGTCTCGTCACCACAACTACTTCCCTCCCTCACACACTCACCGGGTGAGTATTTGTGGATTTGATTCACGCACAAAAGATAGTGAGTGTAAATGCTGATGAATGAATGGATGGGGATGTGTATTGTGACATTGGTTTCCCGTGCTGCTTATTGTTTTGTCGGCAAAAGTATTTGAAGGTGTGTTTCAAATAACCCCGAGCTCACAAAGCTTATTGTCAGGGTTGAGATCGTGCTTGGATTGGTCGACCATCACAGGATGTTGTAGTAGCTGCGTGGTGACCAAAGCCAGCAGCAGAGAGAGAGAGGGATGCAGCTGCTTTGTGCGGCGCTACAATCTTTGTACATTCGTCAAAGTTCTCACACGCCTATACTGACCGCACTTGTGACCAGCGTGGTGAAGTATGGCCAAATCCGTAACTCCCCCCCCACACACTACGGACCTGCATGGACATGCGTTGGAAGCCTCAAATCCAGCAGCAGCGGTGGATTTGTGCTATCGTGCAGTGAAATTTAAAGCTGTTTGAAAAGTTGGCGCAGAGGTCTTTGCCGTGAAATAATGTCGAACGGTAATTGGGGAGGCAGGCCTTCATCCAGCAGTGGAGTGAGCATGGGTGGTGGTCAGTTAATGGGGAGTGGTGGTGCAGCGGTTAGCGCGCTGGGCTCTGAACCGGGTGATCCAGAGTTCAATTCCTTGAGCTCGGCCAACACCACCAGTGACGGTTATTTGAACCGGTCCTGGGCCTCCCCTAGGTCGACTCGGCCTCAATTGAATACCTATTGCTATTGGTAAAAATATTGCCACGAGGGAGACAAAGGCGGCCGGGCGTGGCGTTGGTCACCCACACCCTCGTGTGCCAAGCCGGCCTCTGTAGGTGCTCGCTAACAGCACTTGCCCCAATAGTCTGTTGCAGGCTATGGGGGGGGGGCATCTTTTGTCAATTTGGAACATTGTTTGGCCTTGTGGTTTCCATTTTAGAGCACAGACAAAACCGCGTACTCCGTTGTTCTCTGCTCGTTTGTGATTTTTTTTGTTTGTCGCCGATATTGAAATGTTGGAGATGGTTTTGGGGTTAGATCACGTAAATGTACAATGTTTATCGTTAAACCCGCGACCACCAACCGACACAGCCAATTTAAATTTTGATTTAAAGCTTTCGTGAATTCAGACTCATTCTTGGTTCTTTCGGTAAAGTCACGTAGTTAAGGTTTGTCACGTAAACAATACGTGGCCAAATTCGTTTCTAGTACAGCACTACACCGGTGTGTGTGTTGGAGAGTAAACCCACTAAAAGGTTTTACAATTCGTGTACCGTGACGTTTTAAAATTAAAACAACCAGCATCATCAGGCGGGGACGGCCACAAAGAGTTGCGGAGAAATCCTCATGTTTCTGTCTTAAATAGCCTCGCGAGGGTTTTAGTCATCAACAAGCCAGGGTCTATCCACTGCTGAATAAATTCCGCTTTCAACCCTCGTCCACGCCACAGCCACCCCACCCTGCCTGCCCTTTACACCAGGGGAGAATAAAATCGTCGCTACATCTCCCATTTGGATGTCCTTGATAAATATGGATAGGTTTTTTTTACCCTTTCTGGCAATCCTGGCGAGAGCAAGGCCACACGGAAGGCTGTCTCTGGTTTTAGGCCAAAGGCGACACGCGCCTTGTGGGTGATATTGTTTGCGAAAAGCCTACGTGTTTTTTTAAACATTACCGTTGCACGGTTTGCACGTTTTGCCACAAGCACGTGTACTTAATGCAGACTAGATTCCTTGCAGAAAGATATCTCCGAATCAGAATATTTATACTGGAGGAATCCGATGAGCTATAACTTTTTTCCACGCATGTCCACTAGGTTTCACAGATGACCAGTAACTATTTGGTGTTTGAACACCTTAACACCTCCAGTTTTAGTGCCACAAAAGGGTAAACACCTGAAATTGTTTGAATATACTTTGATAACTGGCAAAAAAGGTCCCATAGATTGGACGTCCTTGGCTCCCTGCTGTTGCACGCGTTCCGAACATTCCTTTGCTGTCACGTGGGCGTTAGTCTTCGACTAAGTCAGGGGTCGGGAACCTTTTTGACTAAGAGAGCCATGAAAGCAAACAATTTGGAAATTTATTTCAGTGAGAGCCATATAATATATTTTAAAAGTGAATTCAACTAAATGTCAGTATAATAAGCCTCTGAATTTATTCTTTTAAATAATGTTGTTATAACACTCACCATTAATGCGACTTCTGGTGCTGCATGGATTTGCTGATATCTTTGTAGTCGGGTTGGTACTTTGTAGTCGGGTTGGTACTTGGTGAGGTTAAGCTTCATGCAAGCGTTGAGGCTTTCATCCGTTAAACGTGATCGTAGGTTGGACTTGATGTTTTTAAGATGTGAGAATGACTGCTCACATGCATACGTAGATCCAAACATGGTCAATACAGCAATACTCACACGCTGCAGTGTGTGGTATGTGACAGGAAGCGCGTTCCAAGTTTTGAGAATCAGCTGGTCTTCGGGTTGGAGTTTTTTCATTTCTGTCCACATGTGCTTGCTCGCCAACTCCGCTTTCTGTCGTGTGATTCTTTCCAAATCTTCATTCAGTGACTTGAACTTATTCACCCACATGTCTGAGGCCTTCAGGTCAGCCACTTCTGCTTCAAGATCTCTGACGGAGACACCAGGGATGTAATTCAGGTCGGCTGTGTTCAGTGAACACTCGTTTGGATGGGTGATGAACTTAAAAAGACGTGTGCTCACGAAATTCTCCAAAGCGTGCTTTGAAGGACTGTAGGAGACTGAATGTGCAGCCAGCTAGCTGGTGGAGATCAAGGTTTTGAATGGGTTCACTTGCTGTGCATGCATCTTTAAATTGGCTCAGTTTTTCAAAATGTAGTAAACGACCTGTTTCAAGATCCGTGATGAAAAGCTCCAGCTTGTTTTCAAAAGCAAATACAGCTTGTTGAAGGGATAACACTGTATTTCCAATGCCTTGCATTTTCACGTTGAGCTGGTTCAGATGTTCAGTCAGATCTACGAGATAGTAAAACTTGAGGAGCCACTCGGTGTCGGCTAGCTCAGGATGCCCGACGCCTTTCATTTCAAGGAAAGTCCGGATTTCGTTCAGGCAAGCCGCAAAATGGCTAAGCACCTTCCCTCTTGACAACCAACGCACATTGCTGTGCAAAAGCAGACCAGGATAGTTATTTACAACTTCATCCAGCAGTGTTTTAAACTGGCGATCATTTAAGGCTCGGGCAACAATAAAGTTGATCACACGAATGACCAGCGACATCACTTCGCCAAACTGCCTGTCACACATCTGAGCACAAAGTGCCTCCTGGTGTATAATGCAATGGAAACTTAGGATGGGTCTATTTTCATGTTCACGGAGAAGCGCCACAAATCCTTTGTTTTTCCCCACCATACACGGAGCACCATCAGTACACACTGAGAGAAGTTTATCCATAGGTAGACTTTTTTCTTGAGCAAACTCCATGAAAGACTTGAATAAATCCTCACCTCTTGTGGACCCTTTTAATGGCAGAACAGCAAGACTTTCTTCGCGCAGTGTGTCACCAACAGCATATCTTGCAATCACGCTGAACTGCGACAAATGGCTCACGTCTGTTGACTCATCCAAAGCCAGAGAAAAGAACGGCGCTGCATTTATGTCCTTCACTTGCGTTTCCTCCACTTTGTTTGCCATCACGATGGTACGATCATGAACAGTTCTTGCCGACAGAGGCATGTCTTGTATCCGTTTGATTATCTTGTCTTTGTTCGGAAGATCATCAAAAAGTTCATTGGCTACATCCAGCATGAACGTTTTAGCATACTCGCCATCTGTGAATGGTTTTCCGTTCCTCACTATTGCTAAAGAACCAGCAAAGCTAGCCGAATTATAGTCACCTTGCCGGGTCCATACGCGAAGTTGCTGCTGGCTAGCTTGCACCCTGCTCAGAAGCTCTTGGCACGCTTTCTTTCTGCTGTCTCCCGCAGGGTATTTTGATGCAAAGGTAGCGTGGCGCGTGTCGAAGTGCCGCTTTACATTCGACCGTTTCAACGATGTAATTTTGTCATTGCAAATTAGACACACCGCAGAACCCGCTCTCTCCACAAAGGCGAATTCTTCGGTCCATTCGTCCTGAAATGTACGATACTCGTCGTCTTTTTTTCTTTTCGCCATCTTCTTCGTCGAAGGGTTAGCTTTGAGCTAATGACCGAGCAGACGCAGTCTCAGACTGATTCAAAAGGGGGCGTTTACCTGTTTTACCCAGCAACGGCAAACGTAGGCCAGTATCATCCAATTAAAATAATGGACAATTGCTCCTGCAGCCCTGAACAGGACATGCGCAGTGAAAAATCGATGGATGGATTAAAACAAGTGAGAATATTTTGTTTTATCTGCGAGCCATATGCAATCATCAAAAGAGCCACATCTGGCTCGCGAGCCATAGGTTCCCGACCCCTGGACTAAGTGATCCTCATGGCGGTACCCCGGGATACCAAATACAGTGGTACCTCGGAGATCGAACTTAATTCGTTCCAAAACCATGTTCGAACACCGAATCAAATTTCCCCATAAGAATGAATGGAAATAGCATTAATTGGTTCCCCACCCAAGGATGCTCCTATTATGGGCCATTTTACACAAAATTTACAATATTAAAGTACAGTACATAAAAGCATACAAAAAACAAACAGTTATAATTAATAGAATAAATGAACATTGAACTTCACTTTACCTGTAGTAAGGAGAGTGGATGGCCTGAGTGGAAGGTGGTGAGGAGGGGAGGATGTGTCAGTGTTGCTTGGAAGGGGAGGCCCCCTCCATAAACACGTTGGGTAACTGCCCTTCTGGGGTTCTTTCTTTGCCTTTTGTCGAGCACTAACTGTGATTCACTTAAGGGCCTTTTTACTAAAAAAAACTGATCAAGAGAGGATTGTTTCTGCCTCCGTTTTAAGATGTTTCTGAAATGACTATGAATTATCATTCAGTTAATGAAAAAGTTAACGGAACGATGTTTTGTGGGTCTGCACTGGGCGA